CTCTATCCTATGAGGTATCCCTGGACAACGGTCGTGTCCTGCGTCGGCACATTGACCAACTTCGCCCTAGACGGGACCTTCCCGCTGAGACTCCTGGGTCTTTTCCAGGGGGAGGGGGAGCCCTTTGGGCAAAGGGAGGGGTATGGGCTGCTGCCCATTACCAATGAGGGAGCCACAAACAGACCATCCCAAAATTCCACGAGTGCTCCAAACAGGAATTCTAGGAGCTTAACCAGTCATCAGGCATTCACGCCTACTCCAGCCAGGGAGTTACCCCGGGGGCACAATCACTACTCATCCACACCACTCAGTACTCCAGTCAGGGAGGATACCCGGGAGCATCCCAATAAACCATACCCCGCAAGAGAGCTGGCACACACTCCTCATAGTTGGCCTGACCTTACCCCTAGTCCTAGAAGGGGGCAAACATACAGGGAGGTGGTCGAGGAACCAAATCCCGACTACAACACCTCTGACTACACTCAGGGGACAACTGAGTTTGGGTACAGTACTGAAACCCACACAAGCCCGGACACAGAACGGGATTCAGGGGATAGACAGCCTCCTGACAGGTCTTGGATGGACCTAGGAGGTTCTACAGAAATGCCCAACAGTGACTGTCACTTAGAAGGGCCAGAGAGCCTATAGCTAGGCGGGTCAACCAGGTCACAAAGCGAAAGAAGCCCTGGCCTGACGAGCCCGGTGGGCAAGCAAGCAGGCCAGGCATTGCAGCACAGTCCTTGGGAGTCACCAAGGCATAACAAGGGGAACAGGCACACGTCACCCCTCAGTCAGGGGGTACCTGTCAGACACCCAGAGCTTAGGAGGTCACAGAGAGCAAGGAAATCTCCTAAGTACTTAGAGGATTACATAACACTATTGGCTAAACAGAGCCAGTAGAAGGGTAGAAACACTAAGGCAATGGAAACGGGGGGAACTCCGAACATTGGGGGAGCAGAGCACTGTATTAAGAGTGGGTTGTGTATTATTATGGCATTAGTCGTAGTTTTAGCCCGGGGGAAAGAGGTGTTATGTCCTGAGCCTTGCAAGCAGGCTCGGGGCATTGCAGGCGGTTCCGGGCAGGTGCAAGCTGCCCGGGACCAGACAGGCTGTCGCCAGTGCTTGTGCGCATGCGCAAGTGCTGGCGCGCGAAAAGTAACACATTGACCCGAGAAAGTCCTATAAAAGGAGGCTGCGAGTTTTGGGCATTGCCACCATATTCCAATGTAAGCTGAACTGAAGAATAAAAGGTTTCCTGAGAACTACAACTGCTTCTCGTGTCTTACCATTTCGCGACAGACTCAACAGTATCCCTTTAAGAGACTATGTCTGAGAAGAATTACATTGGAATTTTTTGCTCACTTGAACTGTTTGAATATAACTGACTATCTTGTATGCTCCCTGGATATTGTTGTTTCATATTGTATATTAAATCACAGTTCTTTTAACAAACTACTGTCAGATGTTTATGCTCCTGTGTTATCACAAGAAGAAAATAAGAAAAAGGCTGCAATAATTTATACCTTGAACAACAGGTTAAGGGCTCAGAATGAAGAAAAGTCCAGTGTGAGGTAAAACCCAGAGCAACTAAAGAACCTACAACCCAAAAGACAACAGAAGCGGAAGAAAGTAATACAAGATGAAGAGCTTTAAAGATCAACAAATACAGGTTACTGAAAACTTAGACAATCAACTAACAATTATAAAATTGGACATGACTTTCTACCTAAACCAGAAGAAACCTGAGGAAGAAGAAGACCAGATCGAATTGAAGACAACTATACTAGACCAAATATGGAGATATGAGCCACTAGGGCAGTGGTTCTCAACCTGTGGGTCGGGACCCCATTTGGGGTCGAACAACCATTTCACGGGGGTCGCCAAACAACGCAGTCCGCCATTTTTTTCCCCTTTTCCTTAGCTGCGCTACTCCCTGTTATTCTATTGGGTTTTGAAACCCAATAGAATAGACTCTCTTGAATAGAGTCTAATTCTATTGGCTTTCAAAAGCCAATAGGAATTGTCCAGGCTGTCTCTGCCCTGACGAGCCCGCCAAAAGTCCCAGTCTGCAAATGGTGCTGCACCAGTTGAGTAGTCCTCGACTTACAACCAGTTGGGGGTCGCGGCATTAAAAAGGTTGAGAACCACTGCACTAGGGCGACAACTGAATGATTATAAATGGGCCAGTTCCTCCAGAAAATTGACAACTAGATGGTCTCCTTTAATTCAAGTAACATGCACAAGAATAAAGGGAGATCTATCTGATGATCTAAAAGCATTGGTATGGAAGCCTGGTTGGCATAAAAAGAAAGCTAGAGTTAGGTTTAAAAAATGGGGTCTTTTGATTTATTAGAGAGGATCCTAAAGTCTTAACTAATGGGCTAATGAGAGATTTTGAGATGAGGGGAAATTTGATTATTAGATTTAAAAATTGTTGGAAAATAATAAAAAATAAGGGATTAATTGGCTTAATATTGAGGATTTAGGGAAATAAGGGAAATTATTGAATTATTGTTTAACCCAGACAATATAGATGATGGACTTGAGATAACAAAGGATAGTCTATTATTAAGTGGTGATGTACTAGGACGAGAAATAGAAAATGTTTATGAAATAAAATAAGAATATATTTAAGTAAGTAATATGTATATTTTAGATATTATAACTTTTATGTCGTGAGACAAAGGAAATTTGGGCTACCCGAAACTTAAATATTATGGATATTAAAGGTTAAATTGGAATACTGCAATTAAAAATTAAAAATTAGGTAATTTAATTAAAAACAGGATATGGATATGTATAAGCAAAAAACATATTGTTAAATGTGATAATGAAGTTTTAACTGAGTTTGATACAATTAGAAATTTATTAGCTTAAATATGATATAGCAAATATTAAGGGAAATAGAGAAGAAATATTTGATGATGTAACCTGAGATATGTACTAAAGATTTTGTTATTGAACTATTGATCAACCTGATCACCACTTTGCTTTCCAAATACTCAAATGTAAAACTGGAAAACCAATAAAGTATTATTTTAAAAAAAGATCTCGTCTTCCCATTCTCTTATCTATAATCAAATCTTTCATGCCTCTACTCAGCAAAATGTCATTGTTACCAGAAACAACAACATAAATATTTTCAGCTTCACCAAATAAAATGACTTTACACTCCTTCCCTTTGCTTTGATTTTTAATCTCTTTAACTCGGGTTCCCAACCCCTGGTCCGTGGCATGCCAGAAACTGGGCCACAGAAACAAGCAAAGCCCCATCTGTGGGATGCAGGCAGCACACATGAAACCACATCCCCTATGGTCTGTGGAAAAACTTCACTCGCAGAACCAGTCCCTGGTGCCCCAAAGGTTAAGGGGGTGCTGTTTTAAATAGTATCCCAGAGCTTGATTTTTTTCATTTGCTCTTTATTTCTTTCAGGAAATCCTTCAAGACTTTAACAAGTCTCTTCTTTAAATCCAAAATAAAAGGCCACTCTTTTCTGTTTTTTTATTGTGTATTAGTTAACAAAGCATTAGCTGGTTTCATTTGTATATCCAGTGTATCATCTTTTTCCATATCATTGTTGTGATCTGTCATTTATAGATACACATTTGAATCAGCCAAAATCTCAGTTTTACCCAGTAAAGCTTCTTTCTCTTACATAACCTCTTTTAATCCACATTTATGAGAGCAGACAATCTTAAGAGTAATTTCTGAGAATTTTTCTAAAGTTAGACTCTTTTTCTCCATTCTGTATCAATGGATCTCTTCTTTAATTATAATGTTAAGTTCTTTCTAGTTCCCTCTGTGTCCAACCTTCAAAGTCTCAACTTACCATTTTTGCAAATTAACAGCATTTCCCAGAGGAAGATTTCTTTTATTTAATTTCAAAATCTCCAAAAATTCTAAATAATAAAATTTATTTTGGTGAGGATTGAAGAAGATTCATCCAGTGTAATCAAACCTGCAGTTCTGAAGGATCCTGATATCCAGAAAGCAGTTAACAAACAATTTCCAGAAATGATTTTAAAAGGAAGTTTGTTAATCCACTGTCCATACAGGGAGTGACAGTGGCTTTTGCAAAGAGGGCAAACTTTTAGCACCCAGTACTCTAAATTTGTCAGAGACCACTATCTTATAGTTTCATCATGGAGAACTGTTGCTTGGAGTGTTTGGGGATGATTCTTTTTGTTCAGAGAGAAATTCTAAATTCCAAGTTTGCCATTGCTTCTCTGGAAGTTTGTTAAGTCCAAATTATTCAATGCTAATAATAATCAAGATAATATATATAGCAAGTTAAATCTGTCTTGAAAGTAGATGGAAATTAATTTTTAAATGTAGACTAGCAATTACCTTGCAAGTCAATATTTATGTTAAAGCAGATTCCAAAAATACTAAGCAGATGAAATGTTCAGGTATCTTTACTGTATTACTATACTATTGTACTTTACTCTATTACTTTACTGTATTAAAGGAAGGAGTAAATTGAAGAGAAAGTCCACAAAGTTATAACAAAATGACATAATCTACCCAAATAACAAAAATATTGCTGTACATTTCAGATAAAATCTTGTCATAGAGTATAAAAAAATTAAAGTGTCTGAGAATTCCCAAAGAATGACTTGTAAATCTGCTAAGTACAGCTGTAGATTTTTTTAATCAGTGTAATTGCTGTCATATCTGCAAATTGTTTAATGAACATTTATAAACTTTTGAGCTAATCCCTGGGAACTCTCTCTCTCAAAAATTCTGCCATATTGTCAGCAGTTAATAGCTAAGTATCTTTGCAGTCAGGAGGGAAACAGATCTCATATCTTCCAGAAAACTATCTTCATAGTGTTTTGATTATAATCACAGATAGAATTGTATCTTTGAAAACTTAGTACTCTGGAAGGAACAGGAGAGAATATGGTTAAATATCACAATTGTAACTATCTTTCCATGAAAACATTTCCAGAATTCAAGAGAAATACTATAAAGTAAAAAAGAAATACTGATCACTCACCTGAGTGTTTCTACTACACAGTCTGGATGTTGGAGCCCCTCACACAGCAAATCCACTGCTGTCTCATCTGTATCCTTGAGGAACTCTAACACTAACTCTTTCAATCTCTGGTTTTTCCTCAAGACTTCAACAAGATGCCTGCTGCAGGACTCTGTGAAGGACCATCCCTCGAGCCTGAAAATACAGCAACTCTTCAGAAGAATTCAAATTATACTTTCTAGTTAGTAATATAATATATAAAAATAGATGGTACAGACAATAATAATTAAAAACAGTTATAGGTAGTCCTCGACTTATGACCACAATTGAGCCCAAAATTTATATTGTTAAGTGAGAAAGTTGTCAAGTGAGTGTTACTCCATTCTACAGCCTTTCTTGCACGGTTGTTAAGTGAATCACTGCAGTTGTTAAGTTAGTCACATGGTTGTAAAATGAATCTGGTTTCCCCATTGACTTTGCTTGTCAGAAGATCACAAAGGGGATCACATGACCACAGGACATTGCAAGTGTCATAAATATGGATCAGTTGCCAAGCATCTGAAATTTGATCTTGTGACCATGGGGATGCTGCAACGGTCGTAAGTATGAAAAATGGTCATAAGTCACTTTTTTCAGTGCCGTTGTGACTTCAGTCACTAAATAAACTGTTGTTAAGTCAAGGATACCTATAAAATAAAAACAATAGTTATGGGTAGATAATCAACAAATGTATAGTATCATATGGTTAGATATTGACACTACATTAAAAGTATCCTATAACTAATATGTGGATTATATGTCAAAGTAAAAAATAAGTTCTAGAGCACAAATCTTGGGTTTGACACATTTCATGTGTGCAGTTGTAATCTAAAATGTATTGCAAATAGAATGGAATTCTAAATCTAATTTTCTTTTAAAATAAGAAATTAATCTAGACATTGAAGTATATTCCCACAAGTTGGTTAGCCATTGTTCATCAGAGGGGATCAAACATCATTTTCAATAAAGAAATATATAAAATTCTTGTAACTTTTAACCTAATCTTAGACTTCATATTTTTAAAATACAGGTGGTTTACTAACCCCTTATTAAAATATCTCAGAGTGAAATGAGATTACGACTCTCAAAATTTGTTCCAAATTTGTTTACCACTATTGTTGAAGCATGAAATATCATCACCACATATGGAAGAGGGATTGAATCTTTTCATTACATTTTTAGCATTTCAGAGGAAAAGTGTTACTGATTTTCACAAGCGTGATTGTAGTAATATATTAGTGGCAAAACATCTTACACAAAATATCTCTTTAGTTTATTATTCAAGGTAAATTTAATATTCTATTTCCACTGAAATTTCCATTATCCCATCTCTGTGTTTGTGTGTGTACATGTGTGCTTAGATGTGCTTAGGTGAAGTTGTCCTGAAAATAAAATTTACGTTGCACAGAAAAAAATAATAAAAGGAAGGCTACTTTGTTTAACTGAGCATAGATAAAGGAGGACAAGAGGGATTACCAAATATTTATCAAAAAATGCAAAACAATTACTGAGCTTATACTCCAATTAAAGCTAGTTGACTAGTTGACACTGGAAAGCTTTAGTTCTGCACCTTTCAATTACATCTCTTAAACCACGTACAGAACAGCCAGCCACAGGATTGTTTATTTCCTGGTACAGCCCTGAGCTTTCTCCTCATCTTCATATTCAAAAATGCCATACAGATTGGACTCACGGAAAATGGGTGCTTTATGATGTTGCTTTAAGGAAACAACAATTGCAATAGTCCCCCTGTGATGATGGATAATTGCCCTGTGCAACCCAGGTCTAACTTATGGCTGCTAATATGAGTGAGGTCAGAGAAAAGACCATGGTTGTCATAGAGGCCATAAAATCTGGAATAATACTAGATCTCATCCCCAAGACCTGGAGCACTCTTAGATTGGGAATTCCACCACAGTCAAGCCATGAAATCCAAGCAGTACTGCTGGGCAGCAACCATCCCCAGCCTGTCCCTATAAACTCATGTATTGGCACTTACAACCAGGTACCAACGAAGAGGCGCAATTGCTCCCTGCCAAGGTGCCATGTACAATTGTTCCCTAACCCTAACCCTAACCCTTCCCTAACCCAGGGATCTTGGCTGATGGAAGAACAAAACTGGGTAAAGAAAAACTATATCCAGGTTACTGTCTGCTAAGGCTTCTTTTATAGCAAATGGGGCTGGCAGTGGAATACATGGAAGGAATAGGACGGAAGGCTGATTCTTAAGATTTATTACTAAGATTGATTGAAAATGAGAAAATAACATAAAAACCCAGTAAGTAGCATTCAGATGAGGATCTCTATATATGTTACTCTGGGAACTATAAGTTTGGTTGCTTTTTCATGTATTTGTAATGAACTAAAGAAGGACTCTTCCTCTTTGGAAGGTAGCTGGAAGAAATATGGTGCCCAGCCTCATTTCCTCAGTCTTTCTACTACCACCAATTCCACATTGACCAACTATCCAAACAGCCACTCTAATTCACTCCATCTACCAAGAGCATATTTCTATTTGCCAAGCACTTCCACTGATCCAGCTATCAATTCAACCCATCCAACAGGGTGCAGTAGCCTCTTTATTAACTTTCAATACCCCCCCCCCAAATGATAATGAACAAACCACTCTAACCCTTCTCTTATGAAGCCACAAAAACAGGTGGGAGAGCCCAGTCCCTCTCTTTTCTCACTTCAGAGCAGGCCCTGACATTATGACCCTGCCTCTCATCAAGGAATTCCCATGAAAATACTGTACCCTTTTCCTAACTCTGCTTCCTTATCTCTCAATGTCAGTTATAACTCAGTTCCATCCTAGGCTTCAGGAACCCCCAGTAAAGCATTCTTTATTGTTGACCATGAGAAATTGATGAGAGAATTCTGTAAAAAATATTTAGGTTAATACACAAACTTCTAATACTATGCAGTGGTTTCTTTATCAATAACATCTAGGATAAAATTCTAGCAGTTTCTTACCTGAGGATACTTAAGTTTTTCAGTTTGGTCAGTGCTTTAAAGAAGTCTTCCATATATCTTTCATCCAAACTCCATTCCCTAAAGGGGAAAGATATTTTTGCTCTTCAGACTTTCGTGTCAGTGTTTCCAGTTCCTTTGCAAATATAATAGGCATTCCAGTCCATTTGAAAATTAATCACAAAAAAATGCATTCATATTGCAGTATGGAAAATTAGTAGTAGAAAAAAGACCATTTTGTAAATGAAATGGTTACAGGTAGTCCTTGACCAATAGCCATGTTGGAACCTGACCATTATAGTCAGAAGTTGTAACAGCCATTAAGTGAAGCTCCCATGTGATTGTCTTACTTACAACCCCCTACCCATGCTCTCCCCAAAGTGTTTGTTAAATAAAGCACAGGGTGCACCAGGGGCTTGGTGAGAGGCCCTGGGAGGCCTGCCATGAGTCATATAAGGCCTCCCCACTACTGAACCACCCCTATGCTCTGCTTCCCTGCAGGCTGTGGGCCTGCTTCCCAACCCACTGGATCTCATATGCTCTTCCCCACCTGCCATCACAAATCACTCGCTTATCTTTGTAGATTTCCTTCTGAAAGCTCTGGAGGTCGCATTGGCGACATCTTCATAGCTATCCATAGTGCTCTGTAGATCACTTTGGAGAAGAACAAGCTTCTCTGTCCCTAGGCTATATGGTCTGCTTCTGGAAGCAAGGGCTTTTTTGGGGGATTGTTGCAATGAATTTTGGCTGCTGCAAAATAGTGCTCATTTCCAGGAGTGAGTCATGCAGCCTAGGGATGGGACGACTTGCTGTTCTTCTCCAATGTAATCTATGGAGCAGTGTGAAGATTTGCAGAGCTCACTGGAGATGGCACTGGAGAAGATGCACCTAATCAAGTCATGTCAACACATGGCACTCTATGGGAGCAGTCTGATGGGAGCGGCCATGAGACCCTCCAGCCTCAGAACCAAAGTTTAGTATTCAGACTGGCTCATGGATTCTCTGCTGCTTGGATGTTGTTCTGTTACAGGTACAAGAATGTTCTATAGATTAATTTCTCTCTTAGTCATTTGATTCCTGGCTATTAGCCCAAAATTTACAACTTGACAATACAGCTCCTCAAACTTATAATTGTCTGGCTGTCTATTTGAATCATCTGATCAGGACAATCACAGATGAGAGGAATAAATAAAGAGGAAATCTTTCCATTGGGAGCTGTAGTAAACTCATCCCTGTGGCTAAAGCAAGATAGGAGAATGAAATCTGGACAAAGAGCTCTTCAGCCAGCTTCACTTCCTACAGATAACAAGCAACTAAAAACTACAATAAGATAATTATTCTTGTTTCCTTCTGTTAGAAAAAAAAAAACTACTTTGAAGCCAATGTGCACAAAAATGAAATAATTAAAAGCACTGCGACACCATAAAGCTTTATAGGAAAGGCCTTAAATCAATGGTTCTCAACCTGTGGGTCGGGACCCCATTTGGGGTCGAACGACCATTTCACGGGGGTCACCAAACAAGGCTGTCCACCATTTTTCCCCCTTTTCTTTGGCCACGCCCCTGGCACCTGGTGATGTATAAGTGGTTGGGGGTCACCACAACATGGGGAACTGTATTATGGGGTCGTGGCATTAGAAAGATTGAGAACCACTGCCTTAAATGTTAATGTTGCAGTTTATTCAGTATAACAATTTTCTCAACAAGACTAGAAAACGAGCCCTTTATAAATTCAGTCCTGAAGCAGAGAAAATATTTTCCAAGAACTATGTCCAAGTCACACCACTGGAAGGAATTTCTTTCTCAATCCACTCCTCTTACTTGAAATGAAAAATGAGGTAGGGTTTAAATTAAAATCTCATACATAGTCAATCTCTATATAGTCCATCATTCTTAAAAATGACCTTGTTTTAAGGGAGATGCTTAAGACGTTTCCAATTATTACAGAAGCACCATCTTATGTTATCTACCATGTAGGATGGAAAGTTTTACATGCAATGAAACTTACAAATGCAATTCCATGGAACATTTTAGGGCAGTGTTTCCCAAACTTGACAATTTTAAGGCATGAGGACTTCAACTCTCAGAATTCCACAGCCAGCAACGCTGGCTGTGGAATTCTGGGAGTTGAAGTCCACATGCCTTAAAATTGTCAAGTTTGGGAAACACTGTTTTAGGGTATTGAATGTAGTTCTTTTTAATTAAAGGGAGAAACTCCCTGAGCTTAGCTATGGCCAAGTGAGCTTCCAATCAGCCTTTAAAGACTGTCAATATTGGGCAATGAATAAAATAATCAAGTTTTTTATTTGTTTATTTAAAACTGCTAAGAGTCTCTAGATCTCAATAGTAATTGCCTCTCTGATCTTGAGTTGAGATGAGCACTTCCTGGTGATATGATTATCAGGCTCTTTAAGAGCAAGAGGAATCCATTGGTGTAGGCCTTGTCAATGGACAATTGCTCATCTTTAATCATCCTCCCATCCCACACAGCCCATCCCTTGTTTTCACTTCTAAGGATTGAGAGCCTTTAACTTAGCTGCCCAAAGATATTTATGCATACTTCTAAGTGGCATTTTTCTGGTCTATTATTATATTTGAGACTGTAGGTTACAGAATAATGATGGCAAGATCATAAACAAAAAGAACTGTTCAATAGATTTCCAAAAATACTTACTCTTTTTCTGGAAGAAATGATTCTGTCTCTGCATAATGTAGAAATTCAGAACCTTTGACAAAAAGGTACTTTAAATTCTGGCAGTGTTGTATACAATAGCCCAGGATCATCAATTCCATATCTGAGTTGCACTGATAATCTATTTCAGTGCTATCACATATTGCATTTTTTATAAAATTGTCATCTTGTGTCTCATATAAATAATTAAACATTTCTTTTTGCAACTGGAAATTACATCTCCTTTTTGTAATATTATTTTTTATACAGTCTAACAAGAATTCTTTATTCTTAGGAGAAATTTCCCATCCAAATTCTTTTTTCAACTCTCTCATTCTTTTTCCTTCATTTAAAAAACCAAAGAGGAAGCGAAATCCTACTGCAAAATCAGGCCTAAAAGATTTATGTCTTTCTAAAAGTGCTTGCAAATTTTTATTCTGATTTTCAGAATGCTGTTCATCTCCTTCTTCTAGGACATAAAACAAAGCAGCAAAAAACTCCTGGAAGCTTAAATGAATGAAGCTGAAGGTTTGAATACAATCAATGCCCCTTTTGAAGATGCTCTGATTCAGAAAAAGGGGGAGGAAGTTTCCATGATCCAAACTGTGCTTCTTGACTTCTTCTTTCATAAATAATGTTTTCTGTTCCCAAACCCCTTCTGCAGCCAAAGAGCATAACCCTTTCACATTTGATTGAACATCCTGTTTGGATTCTTTGTGATGAAACTTTAACAAACTTGAGAAATACAGCATATAGATTGCAGTGAGGGTATATGGTGTCTTCTGCAGATCCTTGCCTCTCTTCATCTCCTGTTTCATCACTGTGCAGATGATCCAGCTCACAAGGGGAATGACACACATGGTGAAAAGTGTATCACTTTGTTTAACAAATCGGAGAACTTGAGTTGCTTGGTCTTCGTTTTCAAAAAATTTGTAGAAATATTCTTCTCTTTCCCTTGTGGAAAACCCCAATATCTCAAAATTGCGTGAGTGCTCTAGAAATTGATGGAGTTTCTCCAAAGCAGTAGGTCTTGTTGTGATTATAAGAGAGGATTTAGGAAGAAGCTTTTTTTGAAATAAACTGTTCAAAAGAATTCTCACTGGCTCCTTCTTCCAGGGATCAGTGCAAGAGGAATCTTTGGGCTGATCAAAGGAATACCTAAATTCATCAAACCCATCAATGATGAACAGAAGCTTCTCTTCATTCTTCAGTATGTTTCCAATGACATTTTTCAATTCGTGACGCTTGAGCCATTCTTCTGAAATTATCTCTGCAATGCTACTCTTCTCTGCCTCTGAATGGAGATTCAACTTTCTGCAGCAAATATAGAAAGCATAATTAAATTTGTCCTGGTAAAGTAGTTGAGAAGCCCAATCAAACATGATTTTTTTGGCCATTATGGTTTTTCCAATTCCTGCAGCTCCTTGTAACACAACAACTTGTGGAATTAATCCATATTTATCAGGATTAAATAATGTTTCAATGCTGGCTGAAGACTCAGCTCTTTTGCTGATGATTTCAAAATGTTTCCTTCCTATTGCCAGAATTTCATCTTCTCTCTCCTCTTCAGATGGATGATAATCTAGGATGATTAGCTTTGAGTATCTCTGCTTTAGAGGCACATATTCACCAGGAACAGCATTAGGATCTTTCATTGTTTCAAACTTTTTTTTAATGTAGTTTCTGTATTCTAAAGGAAGAATGAATCAAATTAGAACCGTGAAAAATAAGGCCTGCACAAGACTCTGAATTAGGTCTTTTATCTCTGGATCTTTTCCTTGAAGCCACCTCCATCTACCCTCTGGATAAATGTGTTGAGGGAAGTTATAGGATACTTTGTTAATTGACTTCTCAGAACTGATGTCAATAGGCAAATATTTGTTAATCAGTACAGTAGGTTGAACTAAGAGACCTCCAAGGTCGCTTCCAGCTCTATTGTAATTGACTGATTGAATAATCCAGACCTAAAATTATTTTATTTTAAGTGGTGTTATACGGAAGATTTGGATAGATGCTTGGGTTTTTAATTTTAGACCAATTAAGGAATGATAATGATGAGATTTGATTATTTCTTTTGTTAAACAATAAATATCTTTTTACTTCGGTGTTCCACTGGCAATAATTACAGCTATAGGTAGCCCTCACATATCAATTGCAATTGGGACCATCCTCTCAACTGGCAAGTGATGCAGTCAGTATGTGAAAAATCACAAGACCACACTGGCTTACAACTTCAGTTCTAACTGATTGTTAGCAAATCACCACAGGTATTTAAGCATAATGTCATGTGACCATGGTTTGCAATTTTCTCCCAGCTTCCCCCTTGACTTTGCTTTTTGGAAGCCAGCTATAAAGATCACTAATAATTTGTTAAAATTTATTTGTTTAAGATTGCAAAAAAAAAATATTTATAGCCTCCATTAGCTCTATTGGAATTAGGACAGAAGACTTTATGTTGCTTATAATTCTGAATAAGTTGTAATGCAATACAATACAATACTAAACCTCTGCCCTGTTATGGTATCATTTTAGATAAATTTCCGCACCTAAACAGAGAAACAGAATGACATAGAAGGGCCAAAAAGAAGTGAGAGTGGGAGTGACTTTCAACTTCTTGCTGGCTTTTGGGAAGCTGACAGGAGCATTGGAAACTTTCCCTTCTCCTCCCCCTTCCCCTTTCCTTCCCTTCCCCTCCTCTCCTTTTTCATGGTTAGACCTGCAAAACTTGGAATTTTCCCCATCAAGATTTTTGGGACGATTAATATTCACAGTAGTTTGCATAGATGGGGAGGGAGAGGGGAGCAACTGCTCATGTTGAATTAGTTTTACATATAATTTCAACAATCCTTTCAATAATTTCTGCCTTACCTGATGAATCTACAAATTGGTGAGCATCAACATCTGCAATTGAAGATGAACTAGAATTAGTGAAATACACATTATAAAAATGGGTAAGTCATAGAGCATTTTTATAAAATAGGTAAATATTCCTTTTTCTTTTACACACTTGAATGGCCCACAGTGTGAAAATTACAGAAGTAACTGTGCCCTTTCCTTCTCTTAGAATTCTTTGTTGCTTGGAAAAAGGAGATCTGCCATTAAACCAGGGGTGTCAAACTGCCGGCCTGCAGGCCGGATGCATCATGTGGAAGCCGCGCCTGCCCCATTGCCGGCAATGGCAAAACCAGCCCAATACATTGTGCGACATCACGTGACGTCACCAGTTTGACATGACTGCATTAAACCATTCTCCTTGGTTTTAAGGCACTAAGGCAAAAGGCTATTATGACCAATATCAAAGCCATTCACAGATCAAGTAGGAGTAGGACAAATATAGTCCCCATGTCCTGGGACTATTCATAATTGCAATCAATACCACCTCATTGCTATATCTCTACCTGAAACACAAGTCAATTATTTCTTCCACTGCTCTTCAAAGCTGTAAGAATCGTTTTCTGAAGAATCTTCCCTAAAAAGGGGAGGTTTGCAGACTAGACCAGAATTGTCCATTGCTATTAGGACCAGTGATGGCTCATAAGGAGAGTGTGATCTGTCACTTCCTTTTGAGCAGGTGGAATCATCCTCTCCCTTCAACAATCACTTTCCATCTTTTGGATTCAGCTACTTGTGGTCTCCTTGGAGATCTTAACCAAGTAGAACGGATATGGATATAAAAGAGAGCAGGATTCACCCACCCAGCCCCAAGGACCCCAGCCACATCTTCATGGCTAACTGGCTCAAACGTTAAGACAAGTTGGCTTCTGCAATGTGCAGTGGGTGACTGATAGTGTGGGAGAATTTGCTGAGGAATCCATAGAGTTGGAATCTGAGTGAAGCAGAGAAAGAGCATATTGTAAAGTTTGAAATCAGGTTACCAATAAGGAAATATCAGAATTTTTTTTCTTTTTATATAGCAAAGCTTTCTTTGTCAGGAAGGAGAATACTTAGTTCACCTTAGCTGCCTCCTGTTAAAAGAGCTGACCTGTCTCTTCATCCCCTTCTTCTGGAAAGCAAGATGTGCATCTGAATGCTCACTGACTATGTCAGCAGGATCCTCTAATTTTTTGTGCAGTACCCCACTCTTCATTACTATATTTCTATCCCAATTTTTTTTTCCATATGTGGATGGTGAAGGTAGAAATTCCCACCCTCCTGATGATCAGGTCTTTGTGGTGTTTGGTGTGTGAATCCAACATTACAATCCTTTACCATTTACTCTCTAAGTATGTCTTAAATTTTGGAAATTTTGCATACTGTCTTTATCACATCATCAAGCTCCCAACCTGGATAATTTTTTTCCCAATTGTATATATGTCTCTCTCAGGCATTAGAGTTTCAGACTGAGTGAGCTTTTCACAATATTTCAAATAAATGTAAACTGGGCTGAGCCCTTCTTCAAGAATGCTGCTGTTTCGGCATAGACCAGTCTGATGTCATCCAGTAGAGTTTCAGGCAAACTAAAACAGCCATACAGGTTGCAACAAGGTAGAAATGGGATTTCTTCTTTGGATTAAGAATGGTTCTGGAACACTTCTTGGCTTTCCAATTTAGGATTCCTGATGTTGAAACGTGCACGGGGATTTTAGATATTTGGAGGTTGTCCTTCCCCAAAGTCAATTCTCAATTTCTTTCTGCTTGGGGCTCCTGCAAGATAATACTGCCCTTCTCTGTTCTCTGGCTCTACCCAGCATTACATGCCCTGCTCTCTTCCCTAGCAGCAACAATAGCATCACCACATGTAAGACACCTTAATATTAAATTATATTAGGAATGGTACTGGAAAAAAGGATGGACTAAATTCAACTTTTAAAGTTCTCCCTAAATTTAGACTAACTTCTCAATGACTAACTTATTTGGCTTGAACTTGGTTTATCAGTTTACTTTAATACCGATAGGAAAATGCCAAGCTGAGTGATAGTGCAGATGCTTCCCTTAGGTTTGATTTCAGGCACAAGACCTGGAATCTCAGACTAGGAGAAAAGCCCCACTCTGAAATTCCAGGAAACCACTGCCAATCTTAGTCAACAACAACAAATTGGTTGGACAAGATTCAGTGGGAAACAAATCACAAAGGGTTTTTATTGTCACTTGATCATAAGTGAAGAGGACATTTCCGTAATATGTTGGCCCAAAGGTGCTTTTTTCAGGAAGCAACTGGACTTTCCTGTGTTTCTTTTGAAGATGTTTTGCTTCTCATCCAAGAAGCTTCTTCAGCTCTGACTAGATGGTTGAGTAGATAGAGCTAATCAGAGCTGTAGAAGCTTCTTGGATGAGAAGAAACACAAGAAAGTCTAATTGCCTCCTAAAAAAAGCACCTTTGGGACAACCATACCTGGATGACTGAGAACCTCCATAGACATGTAATATGTTGGGTTTTCTTACCTTTCTTTCGAGTTTTTTCAAGGTTTTTTGCAAGATCTTTCCTATTGCATTTTAGAAGGACATCAATGCACACCTCTAGAGCATCTTCTCCATAATGTTGAATCATGAGATCTACAACATCTTGTTCATCAGCTTTGTCCAAAGAAGCTCTAGGAATGTTTTGCTCTCCAGCATAATTAATACGATTTAGCTTCCATTTAAATTCTTTAAATTGTTTCTCAATGAGTTCATTCAATGCATTGTAAAGACATTCTTCCACAATGTTACTCATGTCAATTATGGATTACATCCAATCTAAAATTAAAATTAGAGAATTAAACTAAAATGGAAAACAAGCTTTGAAGGGAACAGTACTAAAGTTAAACTAGTTAGCACATTTCACAAACACACATCAGTTTATTTATGATTTCACTTGTACAAGTTTGTGCATGTCACCTATTTCATACATTCGAGGCAACTTATATTCCTAAAACATCCCGACCTGAGATGGCAAGCTATAATCAAGAGGCTTATATCCTTCGGGGTTCCCCCTATCCTTTTGCCTTGCACAAAATGGGCAGACAGATCTGCCTTTGAGTAACACATCCCTGTTTGGAGCCACTCTATCTGGAAGGTGCAAAAACACTGCAAAATCTTTCTTCTAGAATCTAGATCAGTGGTTCTTAACCTGGGCGATATCACCCCCCAGGGGACGATTTTGTTTTTCAGGGGGGTGATGGAACGAAAAGGGGTGACGCGGAGGTGAAGGAATGAAAAGGGGGCGATATGGGGGCAATGGAGCAAGAAGTTTTGGGGACACTTTTGAGACTTTTTCGTACAAAGAATCGCTGTATATCTGTCATACAAAAACATCAGATTGCTCGCTATTAGTGGATTGAATTGTGTTTTCAAATGTTCCTCCAGCTAGCTTCAGTACAGAACGCCGTACATATGTGAATACGCATCGCTTATCTTCATGCGCATTGCGCAGCAGCCTCTACCCATACAGTGGTGTGCCATTGGCCAGAATGGGCAGTAATGGAGGGGGAGCGCTTCTTTTGAAACATCACATGCTGAGTAGCTGTCCCCTGTGACGTCACCTGTAATGTCAATGTAACTGTTGAAACTAGGTTTATCGATGTTGATGTGTGTTCCAGTGCAGTCAAAAATTTAATTTGCGGGTAGTGCCTTTCATTTCAAAGACCTCTCAACATGGCCAAGAAGAGGAAGTGTCGCCAATATTCGACAGAATACCTAAAATTGGGATTCATTCCATCTCCTTCCAACGTACAGCTTCTGTTTTGTCTTCTTTGTGAGAAAACATTTTCAAATGAAGCGAGGAAGCCTTCCCGACTGAAAGACCATTTGGTAAGAATTCATTCAGATAAAGCCAACAAACCGGCATCATTTTTCCAATTCTTAAAGACCAAGTTTGAGGGTCGCAGCACTGTTGGGAAGTTATTTGGAAAATCGTCACTCAACGCCGACAAGGGGCTCATTTGTTCCTATAAAGTATCTTTGTTGATAGCAAAATGTGGCAAACCTCACACTATCAGAGAAACGCTGATTTTACCAGCAGTGAAACAGATTGTTGCCACCATTTTGGGGCCCAGCGCAAGCACTATCACATAATAGATTCCTTTGAGCAGTGACACCGTATCAAAAAGAATTGATGAAATGGCTGCTGATGTGGAAGAAAGGCTTATTGACACCTTGAAAAATAGAGAATTTGTGATGCAGATTGACGAGTCAACGATTCGTGAAAATGAAGCCTTGTTATTGGCTTAGGTTGGTTTCATCAACGGAAATGAAGAGATTGGGGAAGAACTGTTATTTGTTCGAAATTTAGCCACCAACACAAAGGGTTCTTCAATATTTAAAAAGGTTGAAGAGTTTTTTAATGAGAAAAACATCCCTTTGACAAACATCGTGGCATGTGCAACCGACGGAGCTGCATCCATGGTTGGATATCGCGGATTTCAAGCTCATCTAAAATCAGTTGTACCTGGAGTTATGACTGTCCATTGCGTTGTTCATAGACAGCACCTTGTCTCAAAAAAATTGAGTGGCCGTTTGCACAAATCTCTATGTTATGTCATTAATGCTGTGAATAAAATTAAGTCGAATGCCTTGAACAACCGACTTTTTCACAAGCTTTGTGAAGAAAATGATGAGGAGTTAAAATGTCTCCTTTTGCACACCGAACTAAGGTGGCTTTCAAAAGGAAAGTGTTTGCGGCAATTCCACGAACTTTTTGACACAGTTGTCAAATTTCTTGAATCCATTGACCCAAGTCTAAGCAGTTCTCTTAAACTTCAACATCTGGATGTAGCTTACCTTGCTGATGTTTTTGACAAGCTGAATGAAGTGAACGTAACACTGCAAGGAGATAAAATCAATTTTCTTAAGGCCATGGGAGTAATCTGCTATTTATTTCCAAATTGGACCTCCTTGAAAGCAATATGAGTACCAGGAGCTGTATCAGTTCCCAAGCCTTGGTAATGAACGTGAACTCCAAGTAGAAGATTTGGACGTTTTTTGCTGCCACTTGAAGCAACTAAAAGAAGATATGGAAACCAGATTCTATGATCTGATAAATCTGGAAGTGCCCACTTGGGTGCTAAATCCTTTCACAGCAGACTTTGCACAACTTCATCCCAAACTGCAAGAGCCACTGACAGATCTGAAATACGATTGTGAAGCCCAGTCACATTTTCAGAGTTACAGCTACGAAGCTTTTTGGGTGAAAATGAGGAACACTTACCCAATATTGTGGGAGGAAGTTAAGTTGCTTCCTTTAGCCTTTCCTTCCACTTACTTAGTGGAGAGGGGCTTCAGCACCGTCCAACAGATCCTTTCTAAGTCAAGAAAGATGTTGAAGATTTCTGAGCGTGGTGATTTAAGAATGCGATTAACAAAAATGGTTCCAGACATCAAGAAATTGGCATCAGCTCACCAAGCACAAGGCAGCCACTGATGTTCTCTTTTTTTGCTTTTTGTGTACATACATTTTTTTCGTTAATAAAACATTTTGTGTGTCTCTTTGTATTGTACTTTTTTAGCGTGCAGTCCAGTTCGATATTATATTTTCTTTGTGCCTTTTTAATCATTTTACAGTGTGCGTGACTATAAATACTTTCCTCGAATCTTAATTTAGTTTCAGCGTTTTTGTCTTGAAATTCTTAGTTCCTGCATTGCGGTTTGTTCTTATGCCCTTTTTATATTTCTTTTTGCGTCTTAAATTTCACTTGTAATTCAATCATTAAATGTTACTGTTTTTCTTTTTGGGCATTTCACTTTCTTGCAAATGAATTTTGTTTTCAGTGGTCATTACATTTTAGTGTCTTGAATAAATAAGATAATAATGAAATACATGTATCATGAAGTCTGGGAATAAAGTGACAGGTGGGACCAACATTTTTCATAAAGTTGAGATATGGGAAAAAGACTGGAAATAAATTATTTGCATCGATATGTCCTGATGACAGTTTTAAAGAAAACAAAAAAAAGTGTTTGCATAAATTGAAGAATTATTTCCTATGTTGTGATTGAGAGGTTATTTGGGGGAGGGGGGATGACAACTTCCTCATTGGCTAAGGGAGCGATTTGTTCAACAAGGTTAAGAACCACTGATCTACATCATCAAAAAGGAGACCCTATAGATGTAGAGGAGGTTCTCTCACTATCCAATCCCGTTTAGGGATTCCTAAATCCATAAGAGAAACCACTGAAGTTTCCATTCTTGAACACCGATCAGAAGAGATGCAGATACTCTGCTTCATCCAGAACTCTCTGAAGGAGGGGTTGCCCCTTGCTAGACAGCTTCAAAGAGAAGGTGTATGCTCATCTGTCAGAGATGAAGTCTGAACTGAGAAGGGGATTGGACGCAATGACCTTTATGATTGCAGCTGCATCCCACTGCCTTTGGTACAACCTTCCCTAAAATGGGCAGCTGACAGGATAATAATTATCTAAAAAGGCTGGCTGAAATGATATCTTTATATATACAAAAAATATTTAAAAGAAATAGTTAAAACAGAAGAAAGATGTGGAAACAATAGAAAGCAAAGGAAAAGAAGAAAAAGGACTACTTAAATAAGTGACTACCAATATTCTTTTTAATAATTATAAGCATATTTACTACCATTTCCTTCCTCCAGATTACATAATTCTGTTTTTTATGTATGTATGTGTATATAGATAGGTGTATGTAGGGGTTATCAGTCTTGTAAAAAAGTAATTGTTGTTCTTTCCCGACTCAAACAAGTCAATGTTAGCTGGTATTCAGAAAATTGTTAGAGAAAAGCAAAAGGGAATATAGTGGACTAGAACCAAAATCCTCTGAAGAGATGCTGCAAAATTGGGGAAATTTATCCTTGAGAAGACTGAGGGTGGATAGAATACATTCTTTGCTTTTCAATAAATACTCCAACTGGAGTTTAAATTCAACAAATATTCAAACTGCATGGCTGTCTAAATAACACATCAATGTATGGCAAAAAGATATGGAAGGGACTCTCAAGGTTCTCCAACTTCTGATAGTGACAAATAAAAGAAGTTTAAGTGGACTTGGTTTAGCAGACTCAGATTCAGTAGATAAAATATGGTGGCTAAATGTACAGTAACCAGTAATTATGATGACCCTACATTTGATATTGGTATTACATGGGGAGTATTGCTTTTGATTTTTATTAATGAACTTTGCCAAGTTATAAACGATTTGGGCTGCCTCATAAAATCCTTAAATAACTAAGAGTAAACTCATATAGGACTGTATTTGGGCACCAAAAAATGCTATCTGCCATTTAATGGACTTTGGGCTTTTAGAACCCCCCCCCCTTTGCTCAGCTGCTCAATGTTAAACAGAAGCCTCGAAGATTGGACGATGGGGGTCCCGATCTCTGCATCCGGCCCATAATGCCTTGCACCCTCCACCCACCGGGATGCAAGACCTCTTTTTTTCTTTCACAGTGGCACCCGGAGGTGGAATGGGGCTCTAAAGTTATTTCATTCCAGTATCAAGTACAACTCCTGTGTGAGGAGGCCTTGAGCCAAGCAGAACTTCCAAAAAGCCTTCACGTGTTTATAGGCTGATGGTGGAGATCAGGGACCCTCCTTCGCCAGTCCCACTTTAAGCTCAGCTGAACGGTCTTTCTTTCCAGGATACATTTCGTCCCCGCAGAAATTAGCTGCATGTTTTGGCAAAGCACTGGTTCCCCAAGATACAAATACGTACCTCAAAATCCAACCTTCCCATATTTAAGATTTTAGAACGTCAGGCTTACCGTTCCGTGGCGAAGTAAAGAAAGCAGAAATCTTAATTGATCCTGAATTTGTAAACGGATAAAACGTTGTCCTTCGCAGACCTCCTGTTAAAAATCAAAAGTGCCCCTCCCTTCCTCCTTGTAGTTTATTGTGTAAGTCGCGTCCTCAGGCAGCTGCTTCAAGGGAGGAAACGTTTCGCGGCAGTTCTGCTTTATCGGTCATATCAAGTAACAGGGCTGTGAAAGCCTTGAAGATGCTTTTCTTGCTGCTTCGCTTAGTGTCTTCAGCACCTTTCCTGATTCTTTCTCAACCTCCTTCAGAGTTGTAATTCTAGGAACGAGTTCTTTTATGTAATCTGGATGATTTGGGTGCCAATCTTTATTTTTATTTCTGCATTTTCCAGCTAAACAGAGAGAAAACCCCAATACGGATTGCGCGCGCTCGGCTCGCAGCCTTTTCGAGTTGTACCAAGTTTGCGGGCTTTGTGCTGCGCGATCAGATACCGCCCCCTGGCGGCATAAACTGGGGGCGGAGCGGGGCGGGGGAAGGCGGCGAGGCTCCGCCTGTCCCTTGGCCCGGAAGGCGTGGCGAGTTTTTACAGAAACTCTTGTTTCTCCGCTTGTAGTTTCTACCGAGCAGCAAATTCGCCGTGCGGAAGAGGCGTTGGGGGGGGGGGGAGTGTGTCCGAACTGGCGGCGTGGCCGGAGTTGGAGAGAAGAAGAAAGGGGGCTTGGAGCTGCCGCGCTTCCTCATCCTCCGTAGCTTTGGAGTTCCCGGAATCCGGCGCCTCTTTTCAGCGCTTCCTCTTCCTTGGGAATGTTTCTGTGCGGATGGGCGGGCTCCTTTCTTCCCTAGAAACCAGCCTGAAGTTTGGGACTACATCAGGAGTTGCAGGGGGATTGCCCCTTCCCTCAATTCTGTAAGACTGCCTGCCTGCCTCTCCTTTAGACCCTTACTAGACAGAATGGATCCATTTGAGTCCTTCTTTCCGTGTGGATTTTAAACTGATCCTCAGTGCCGGGGGAGGGGGGGGGAGGATAGGAATGGAAATCCACCCCTTGGCACAATGCCATACAAACAGAGCAGCGTTTCTCACTCTTGGGAACTTTAAGATAGGTGGATTCCAGGTAGCTGGGGAATTCTTGGAGTTGAAATCCACCCGTAAGTTCATCCGTACACTTAATATATTTATTGTGTGCCTTATTTCTTTTTTTCATCTAGAACTCCAGCCATTACTCCTTCCCTCTTCTTAATATGGCAGTGGTGGGTGAAGACCCGGCCAGATTTACAACAGATGCTCTGCCTTCTGACGCCAGACTCCTCCCAACATTGACAAATGCCTATCTGGGCACCCGAGTCTACAGGGACATCCTTCATGTCAATGGGGTGTACAATGGAGCAGTTGGGCAGACACATCGGGCTGATCTCCCCAGTCCCGTCAATGTCAAAATGGATGTGGATGGGGCTGATGACCTGAGGGAGACCTTCTGTCTGGACACCAGGACAGGTAAGTGGCAATGCCGCTTTCCTTATCTACATTGTTTTGGTGGCCAATACATTCCTGCCACCCTGTCAGGGCAGCTTTCTTCAATTCACATGCTGAACATAGAAATTAGCTTTTGTTTTGAAAGACAGTGTGACTCCACGATTTATAAAGGAGAAAAAGGGGGGTGGATTTAGAAAATCCAAAGTGGCCTATGTTCTCTGAAGTTTGAATCCCTTCCTAGCTCATAAAGGTATCTGAAAATCTCTCAAATGAACCTGTTTTGAAAGGCATCTTTTAAAATCAGCCTCGCCAACCAGATCTCCAGATGCAGCAAAATAGTCCCTATTAGCAAAAGGATGATGCAAGTTGTTGTCCAGCATGTCTTATCTAACCGGGAAGCCTCCTAAAACCTTCAGCCTGGAAGAAGACAAGAATTTTTAAGATAGGAATGTATTTTAATTACAGCACAGAGTGCTCAAAAAAAAATTGGAGAACATTTTCACCTTTCTGTGAAAATGGATATGGTAGCGATATAAAAAACTCACTGTATTTTGAGGAATTTGCTGAGATACTTTGATTTCTCTTGATATACGGTACTTAAGAAAAGTTGGAAAATTTGGAGCTCATTCTCTGTTAACTTGCTTATTTTTCATTCTTAGTTGCTGAACAAAGGTGAAGGGGGGAAATGTTATTTTGCTGCAAAACTTATCTGTAAAAGTCTCAGACTCTTTAGTTCCCACCCCAGAGTCATGGGCCACTCTCTCCAGGTCAGATCTTGCAGTCTGGATACCATAGCAACAGGGTCATAAAGTCACAATGCCAGGTCAATAAAAACTCTAGCACTGGCCTTTACACTGGGAGCTTCTGCACAGAACCTAGCCCTGGTTACTGTGAAAATCCCCCCCCCCCCATGGGATATCACTGCTGTCCTTATGAAGGAGCTCCTAGCAGCTTGTAAGAAATTGGGTATCAGCTTGCTTGATACATTTGCTTTTTATGTTAAGCTTTTAAATCTGTTACATTAAGTTAATAATAAAGCCTAAAATTTCTTTATTCACTATGTTTATTGTCTCGGAATCCAAAAGACTTGGCAAGACAGTGGATCATCTTTCAGTCCTTAAACTGGACTTCATTTAATTGTTAAGCAGACAATCACAAGCAAAGATCTTTTTCACATTTCAGTTCATCAAATAACAGAAGGATTATATTGTCGGCCATGTTTCAATTTCTTGTGCCAGACCCATTCCCTTATGTGAAATTGCAAAGTAGATTTGATATGAGAATTTAGAATATGCATTCAAACTGACCCTTTCCTTCCCTCTGTAGGGACATATATCCATACAGCCCAGTGCTCAGAATATACAGCTACTCATATGATTTATGCCCACCAGTCTCTTGTCCATCTCCTGGCCTTCAACATAACGATTGCAAGGTCAGCTTTCGAAACTAAGCCCATCACAGTGAATCTCCACACCCAGTTCACACCCGAGAGTCCAGACCTGGACTTGCAGAAAGGGCCAGATTTCCTGGGAGCTCAGTGAGTATTATTGTGGGAATGTTTTTTGTGGCTCTTGGCCAGGCATTGAAAGACTGCGATAACAAAATCTAGTTATTTTTCTTGTGGTTTTGAATAGGGAATAAATGCAGTCTCCCTCCAGAGGACACAGGGAGACCGTGAGGAAACACCTATCATGCTAAGAGGGTGCTTTGGATTATTAAAAAAGGATAGATTTTTGTCTAGTATTGCATTCCGTAACCTGCTGTCCTCCAGATATGCTGGCTCTACCACTTCTTGAACTCCCAACTAGCTTGGTCTACAAGGCAGAGGGATTAAGGGAGAAGAGAACCATTGGCCCCTACACTTAAAAGGTATAGGCAGAATTACAAAGAATAAGGAGAAAGGGAAGATGGAAAAAGTGTTAGATTAGAGTTCAAAAGGTATGCAGAACAAATTCTTTGTGCTCAACAGATATAAAATTCCAGAGATGTTTCTGTTGTTTAATAGATCGTCTAATCTCCCGAGAGAAACATAAAGATTCCCATTTTTTTTCTTTCTCTTTAGCTATTTATATGGAAAGACATTGGTCCCAGAAGTAGAGGGTGGCCCCCAGCCTACTGTACACATGATCTGGACCCCGGTGCCCCAATCAGTGACCCTCCCTGGAGATCACAAGGAGCAGAGGTGGGAGTTCCTCACTGCCATAGCAGAGACTGAAGAGGATGTGCAAAGGACCTTTTGTGAAGGGATGTCCCTGATCGGATCTGGTTCCTTATATCTGTCTCACATCCAGGCCTGGGCAGCACTCTGGGAAGGCTGCTGTGTAGATGTGGACGGGCCTCTTTCCTTGAGGCAGGCCATCTATGGCTGCCTGTATTACCTGCTGAGTGCCATTCCTCCTCCGGGCTCTGCTGGCTTCCCTTTCTCTGGAATCAGCCCAGGAGGCCTTTCCAATGGCACCTCTGGTGAAGACTACTGGGGCCATGTCTTCTGGGACCAGGTGAGCAAAGAGCACTGCCTCAGTTTTCTACTACTGTAGAAATGCATGGCATTGCAAAGACCTGACCATCTACTGTCCTGCAGCTAGGGTTAGCTTTCTGTGATGCTCGTGCAAAGACTAAAAGGTGTTGTGAATTTTGCACAGTTCCGCCTCTCTCAGTTGCAGATTGATGTAAGTGCCATGCAACTAACTGTTAGTTCAGATATGTGACTCAACCTGGAAAGTGAAGATAGAAAGTTAGACTTAGTTCATCTCATCTGGCATACATAGGGTACAATGTATGTGTGTGTTTAATCTAGGAATCTTTTTAAATGAAGGTGACATGGATTGAATCTGGCCATTATCTATGTTCTGTCCTGAGGCACAGTCTCTGCTTCTCAAATAAAACATCTTTTCAAAATAGTCAACAAGTTGGAAGGTTTTATTAGCAAATGACCTGAGTCTGGATCTGTCTCTATTTCTCCTCTGCCATCTCCCTCTCTATCCTTTCCTTTATAACTTAGGCTTTGTTAACCTTTCAGTTGTTTCATCTGACATATAAAATGCCATATTTTATTATTGCTCTTCCTGATTTAAACACGCCCCTAAATTGTGATGTGTATTGCAACTAGCTAGGCATATTCAGTATGAGATTCTGGGTCCATCAATTTTTCTTTCACAGTAGTAAGAGTCTCCTGAGGAGCTTTGATATCAACTTTCCACCAGCCTCCTGCCCCAGAGAAGAATATTCATCATGTAGTTCTCTAGTTCGGTCTTTACACTGAAGCCACATCATTCCTGGGGCCCAGATTTTGTTTTGAGGGTGGGGGTTGAAGAAGCTTGTCTCCCAGAAGACTCCTGCTCTCCATCTCACCCTCATCGAAAGCGGGGAGCTCTTATGGGAAAGAAATAACTGCTGGCTTTACCCTAATGTTCAGATCTTTTTGCATTTGATGGCAATATTTATATACGTGATCCTTTTTTGTTTTTAAACCTAGGATACCTGGATTTTCCCAAACATCTTGCTTTTCTATCCAGAAGCTGCTTGTGCTATCCTAAAATACAGGATCCGAACACTAGAGGGAGCTCTACACAACGCACAGGAACAAGGTTACAAGGTAGAAGCCTTCTTGCATTTCTTTCCGTGGCATGGAGTCAGTTTTCTTTATGAAAGAAAAACCTTCACAGCAGGGACCCACCAGAGGTTCCCCTTGACTTGAACTGTTTTTAATTTTATCATTTCACCAAGTTTTCAACAAAACAAAAGCAAAATTCTGGAGCAGCAGCAGTAGGGCCTTTGAAACAAGGGTGGCTCTAAACCAGTGTTTCTCAACTGTGGCAACTTGAAGAGATATGGACTTCAACTCCCAGAATTCCCCAGCCAGCTGTGCTGGCTGGGAAATTCTGGGAGTTGAAGTCCATACCTCTTCAAGTTGCCAAGGTTGAAAAATACTGCTCTAAACCAGTGGTTCTCAACCTTTTTAATGCCGCGACCCCAACTGGTTGTAAGTTGAGGACTACCCTACGGTCATAAGTCGGAAAAGGGGGAAAAATGGCGGACAGCCTTGCTTGGCGACCCCCGTGAAATGGTCGATTGACCCCAAATGAGGTCCTGACCCATAGGTTGAGAACCGCTGGATTAGAGGTTCAGTTAGCAGAGTTCCAATTTACCACTTGAACTCAAGTGTTTGTCAGTCTGAAGTCTCAACTTGAGGATTTAGAAACAAATTGTATGCAGAATGAAAAGTGCCATTGCAAACAAGAAATTGCCAACCAACCAAGGCACAGAATGATGTTGAAAAGTTGCCTTCCCTTACAGAGGGCAGAAACTGGATTGAGCAAAGGAGGCCACTGGCCAGTCTGTAGCAGGCTCTTCTGTCATGCAGCAAAAAGCTGCCCATTCCTGACCAAGCATGCTCTGGATTTGGAAGCCCTCAAAGAAAGGAAACGTTTTACTCTTTAATATGCCTTGACCTTGTCCGGATACTTTATTTTATTTTGGCTTTGGTTTTGGCAGGGTGCAAAGTTTCCCTGGGAGAGCGCAGCAACAGGCCGAGAGGTCTGCCCTGAGAAAATTTATGGAGGCGAGGAGATCCACATCAATGGAGATGTGATGCTGGCATTCCAGCAATATTTCTGCATCACTCAGGTAGCTTGGGGTAGCCAGTTTTGCCTCCTGTCCTGCTTCTGTTTATGCCAGCAAACCTGGTTAGTCTGTCTGAGTCAGACGGCCAATGGAATCTCTCCTGATGTGCTTCTAGGACTTGAAGCTCTTTCAGCAGGAAGGCGGCTGGGATGTAGTCCAGGCTATCGCTCAGTACTGGTGCAGCCGAGTTGTGTGGAACTCTGAGGAAGAAAACTATCACATTGTTGGTAAGTATGTAAGGGAATTCCTGAGCAGGGATAAAAGTCAATTCAGTGCATCTTCTCTAGCGGCTAAAGCTGATGAGGCAGAACCTGTAACAATAGGTGAGAATGACCTTGGGAGACAAGAGGAAGAGCAGTAAAGTTTTCTTTTAATGCCCAAATGCATTGCAACCAGTGTGCACCCTTGGACCTTTATCCATCAATACTTACTTTATGAGTAATTCTGGGAGAAAAAAAAGATTGGACAGGTTATAGATGTCTGTTCCTAATCATGAGGACATCACAGTGATGCCTGTGGAAGGGCTGCTGTGTTCTAAAAAAAGTCTGCCTCCTTTTAGGTGTTATGCCTCCAGATGAATATCATTGCACTGTAGCTAATTCTGTCTATACAAATGCAGTTGCCCAGAGGAGGTAAGAGATTTCCAGAATTGCTGATCCTACTTCTCTGTCCTTCTCTTCTTCCAGAAATTCTTCTGTGTCCTTCTTTTCTTCCAGAATTGCTGTTCTTTCTTCTATGTCCTTTGGCTTTTTTCTACTTTAGACTTTTTTTGGGGGGGGGTTAACATTGAATTCCGATTCTTAATCTGTTATCTAATACAAATTTAAATAATTTAAAAGCTCATCGGCATGCTCTATCCTTCAGGAATATAAAGGATAATGATGATAGGCTGAGCCTCATGTCATATTTTAGTCTGGCTGGCTGGGGAGTTTCATCTCTTCGGCCCAACTCTTGGGAAGATGCTTTGAATTTTCTGGTCTGAAGTGCAGTATATTTGTCAACTCCCCCATCCTTCCAGTTGACACAGAATTTACTTTCTGGTTTCCATGAGGAGTTGACCTTCAAATGCAGCAATGATTTAAGAATAATCTTTCCCCCTCTCTCCTTCTTCACCCCCTTTGAGAAAGATATTGCCCATGTAAAGAAAGAAAAGGAGGCCAATCAGATACAAATAGAGCAGTGGTTCTCAATCTTTTTAATGCCACGACCTCCAACCGGTCGTAAGTTGAGGACTAAACTGGTCGTAAGTTGAGGATTACCCAACTGGTCGTAAGTCAAGGACTTTCCCTGCCCGGGAGTGCCACGCATGCGTGGTGCTGTCCCCTGCGCTGGCCGAGGCGTAGCTGGCAAGCGGCAGAGACGGAGCAGGCCGACCACCGGCTGGGCCACCAGCTGGCCCAGCCCAAGGGAGGTAAGGCACCCGCCGGAAAAGGGGAAAAAAATGGCGGACAGCCTTGCTTGGCGACCCCCGTGAAATGGTCAATCGACCCCAAATGGGGTCACGACCCATAGGTTGAGAACCGCTGAAATAGAGTAAGATTTTTTTTATAAGGATACTCTGTCTTATGAAATATATATTGCTTCTTTGCAAATTGTAAACTACTTTTGGTGAGCCTCCCCCTAACTGGTTTGAGTAATACAAAATCAAGCACAAATTTCTAAGCACCTTAAGGATTATTTGGGAAACTTTTTCAAATTCAGTTCATGTATGCAACTGTTTCTCTAACTTTAAATGTTGTCATCACATTGCTACCCGTTAGTGCTAGGGAAGACATCCCTTGTGTAGGCAATTATGGAATCATAGAATTCCAAATTTGGAAGAGTCCAGTCTAATCTTCCACATTTTACAAAAAAAAATCCATTAAGCAATCCATGAATTTTGGCTATCCAAGATCTCAGTTTCCATGTTCATTTAAAGACACTCTAAAGAAAAAGGAATGGAAATGCACAGATGATAAAGTTGAAAATGTTGCTGCTGATTTTCTTAGTTTCATTAGAAGCCATCTCTTTGAAATTTATGAAAAAGCAATAGCATTGTTCAGAAATATTCTGTTCCCAAGTAACACTGGTAAAAAGGAAAAAGGTTGAAATACAATTGCAAACCTTGTATAGATAGTTTCTGAGACTGTTAATGTAACATTTTTTAAAAAACTTTTGTCTACCCTGGTACTAGTCCACAAAGCTTCTTAAGTAGCATATTCCTGATTTGTCTTCTGCAACAAAATGTATACCGTTGTATCTTCAGGATGCCATTTAATTTCACAGGAACAAACATTAAGCAGATATGACATCACAGTGATTAAAACATGTTGGGAGGAATAATTTAATACCTCTTTAATAACAAATTAGGAGCAATCTCAATGAAAAAACAAGTGCCCCAAATCTGATGTTGTTTTTTAAAATGCTAAATGTCAAAACATTTTTCCAATTGGTAATTTTCCGTTAACTCAGCTAGATATTTTTCTCTCCATGCCATTTTAGCTTGAAATTTGCAATTGACTTGGGCTCCCAATTGCATTTTGTTGTCCCTGAAGAGTGGAAGGAGATTATGAAGAAACTTAAAGTGCCTTTGGATAAGAGTAGATGGTACCATCCAGAATATGATGGATATTGTCCAGGTGAGGGACTCAGAAGAAGAAACCAAGATGTTCATCCTATCTTTCACTTAATTGTGAAAATGCAACCATCACTCAACCTACATGCTAATGTGGAGGGCATCAAGTTAACATTTTACACAAAATTCAGTAGTCAATAGTCATTCTTGCTCAGGAGTCTGCTTTCTCTACTGCGGGAATGGGAATGAGGAGAAGAAGAATAGTATAAAGCCAGGAGATTTTCCATTTCCTCTCACCAACAAAAAAAGGGGGAAATTGTTGTCTTCTCACTTCCACTAACTCTGATTTTTTTTGCCAGGAGGAATTAGGAAGCTTTGGTTTTCCATTTTTTTTCCAATTATCCCCTGGAATCCTCTGATTGCCTAAAACTGTTTGAAACCCTGAGGACAGCTTTGGTTGCGTCAAAGGCAGCACAGGCTTTTGACACTACATGTGGTTTTTGATTATGAGTTACTATCCCTTCAAAAGGGAATGTGTTGGAAAGACATAACTCTCACATGTTGGCTAACTTATTATTTAACCTGGTCGGTCAGATACTAGAATATCTGCAAGTTGCTTCTTCAAATGGACATTTTAGCCGGCTCCTAGAGCTTTATTGCAATAGGGTTAAAAAAAAAAAAAACAGGAGAGCTTTTCTCAGCATATTAATGTATTGGGACAGCTGCTGCATCTTTGCTTCCTATACATCAAAATTCTTTAACATAAGTAGAGGCTTTTTTTCTGTATTTCCCCCCCCCCATCAAAGGAAATGTAGTATGAAAATGAGATGTTCCATTTCCTTAGCAATCATCATCCCACATCTTGGCCATATCAAAGCTTTGCTTCATGCCTCTCCCCATAGGTGAGCCAGTGAAACAAGCTGATGTTGTCTTGCTTGGGTTTCCTGTCATGTACCCCATGGAACCAGAAGTCAGAAGGAATGATCTAGAAATCTATGAGCCTGTGACTGATCCCCAGGGGCCAGCCATGACTTGGGTAAAAAGCTGACCTTGAGGAAGGGAGCAAGTGATTTCGGTCTTAAAAGTGTGGGGTCGTGTCCATCTGCAGTGCATCTGTTTGAATAAGGGTGTGTTGATGGTAGAGGGCACCATCAGTGGTACCAGTGTCTTTCTCCCTTCAGAGCATGTTTGCAATTGGCTGGTTGGAGTTGAAGGAAATCAAAAGAGCACAGCAACAAATGGACAAATGTTTCAGCAACATCACCGAGCCGTTCAAGGTCAAACAGTTGGGCACATTTTATTCCTGTCTTTAAGTTCTACTCTTAACAACAATCATCTATATATGTGAATATATAATCTTCATTTTCTTAGATCTGGGTGGAAAACTCTGATGGATCAGGAGCTGTAAATTTCTTGACCGGGATGGGTGGATTTCTGCAAGCCATCTTTTTTGGATATGCTGGGTTCAGGTATAAATTAGGTGAAGAAATTTGTCACATTTTTCTTGCTAGTCAAAATCATGTGGTGTACCAGAACATGTTCTGTTGCAGAATGAATGGAGACATAGCTACCCTAACCCTAGAGTTTCCTATAATTTATTTCTTAGCTATATTATTGTGTGTTTGACTTAAACTGTATCTCTGTATGCTCAGAAAAGTTGCATGTGTAACTGGGAATAAGTCCTTATAAAAAGATAGCAGAGATACAGGTTAGAAAGGTTACATGTAAAAATAAATATAGTACAAATTTTGTAACAAGGTATTTTGTAAAGCAATACAGAAATTTGATAGAATGAATTCATTTAGCACTTGCTGTGACTATTACTATCTATTCAACAGGCCCTTTTGTGTCTCACTACACACACACACACACATACACACACATATATAATTGTATTAAAATTAGACTGTTGGTTTTTGGAAATGCCAAAGTGGATTTGATAACAGGGATAACTATTTTTAGAAGTCAAGGTGCGGGGGAGAAACAAGCTTTCCCCACTGCAAACGCTTCTAACTGCAGTCATCAACTTTTGTTTCTGCTAAAATACCATTAGCTGAGCAGCCAGTATCCCTCAAGCAGGAAGGTCTCCTTGGATTAAGACCATCTTGTCTTTTCCCACCAAGTTTTCTCACCACATTTTGGTTTGGTGTAGCCAAAAGAATTATGCCTGTACTATGTACATCTCATTGCAAACTAGGTAACATCATCGATGATATGATCATGTTAACTAGTTTGATAATGAAACATCTGCAAGAAAACAATCAAGCTCAGAGAGCACCAAGGACCTCACAATTCAACCCTGAGCTACAAATATTCTCTTCCATCAGTACTTTGTTTGTTTTGCTAATATTGCTCCACAGAATACTATGTGCATTGATGATGCAAAAATCAAGTTGCAAAAGGCATCGGCCACTCACACAGCAGGATTAACTGTCGCCTCGTAACTCTCCAAAGTTTCTGCAAATGTATTCTTCTCTGAGCTCTGGCTTTTTGGCTTTAACATTACTTTTAAAAACTAGTTAATTTAACTTGGACCTTAATAATTTTCTTTGTCATCCCACCACTCCCATCAAACTTTGGAAGAACTTATTCTTGGACTCTGCTTTAAAATCCCTTGTTCAGGAAACAGTGGTAATCTCGAATGACAGCCTGGGTGACGTATCTGTACCCCCTTTCAAGGCTTGTGATAATGTCTGGCATTCAATATTCTAGTCACCGAGTTCTTTCTGCTCTTCCTAGGATCTCCAGAAGCTGCCTGAAGTTTGGCCCTGTTTATCCTGATGATATAAAGCAGCTGGACATTACTGGAATCTGCTACTTAGGAAGCAAGCTGAATTTCACCCTCACCAAAGAGAAAACCATCATCAAAATGACCGAGTCTTCCTCTAATTTACACTTACCTGCTCTGGAGGTGGTACTGGCTGGAACAGGAGAGCATCTATCCTTAAAAGAAGGTGTTACATTGTTTGCTATAATATGAACAGCCCACATTGCCCCTTATGATTTAAGAACTTTGTATCACTAACACTACTGGACTAGCACTCAGCATGGCCTCCGGGCATTCATATTTGTTAAAGCTGGAACTGAACCAGTCTAGACCCATAGCCAGCCAAAAACTAAGATCAACCCCTATAGATGAAAATCAAAATCTGTATAAGAGGATGTGTAGTTACTTGCTCAAGACAGCTGAAGAATCTGATAAGTGAATGCCAAACTTACCTATGACACAATTTCTCTGATGATTTCTCCTCTTTTCATAAGACATAGCTCTGTCTTTGGATTGTCCATGTGGGAATCCAGTCAAAGCAAACCTAGCTAAACAATTATAACTGGCAGCCCTTGAGAACTTTAAGTTTTGATGGAATTCCTTGAGTTCCAGCTGTTGTTCCAGAGCTCCTAGAAGAAAATGCATAGCAAGAACCCTGCTTTGCTAAGGTCTACTATGCCACTAGATATTGAGACCCAGAAATAATGTTAGGTTGCTTTGTGTGGGGGGGAAACATATAGATGCTCTTCAGGGTGGAATCTCTCTGATCTAACAGATCATGTTGAGTGTAACAGTGTTCCCCAAATGCTAACAGGAAATTTTGAAATTCACGTTTCTAGAAGGGACTGTAGTTTGGGCTACAACAAGGCTTAATTCTGACTTTTGGCCAGCAGTGTGGCTGACGGAAGCAGGAATTAATAACAGCTGGAAATGTGTAGGTTCTCCAATTTTGTTCTACAAGTTCTATATGAAGAAGTAGCATGAATGAAGGTTGGAACTGGAATAGATTTCAATCACTATTTTACACATTCTGCCTTTCTTTTCGTTTCAGGGCAAAGTGTCTCCTTCTTTACAACTGCTGGCTGGATTCAGAAAGAATCTGTTCTGCCATGAAAACCAGCTGGGTGACTTTGGGCCAGTCCCACTCTCTCAGTTCAACCTACCTCACAAGACTGTTGTTGTGGGGGAAATAGAAGGAAGGTTTATTAGAAATGTTTGCCGCTTTAAATTATTTTTAAAAATAATAAAGGAGGGGTACAAATTTAAAAAAAACAAATAAACTTTATGACACACATAAAAGCTATCAAGAAAAAGTTGATAATTTTCTTATTCTATATTATTACTGCCATATTGCAGAGACATTCATTTGTAAGTCTCAGCAATATTATTGGAGAAATCTTTTTTTAATGAGTATGTAATGCTACAGTATACAGCCTGAGATAATACAAATTCCATGGATACTTAATGAAAAGATTATGCCTTTGCCTTTTTGCTTTAATATTATATCGTTGTTGCTCCCCAACTGGATGTTGAACACTTATATTTTTATTTGTACAGTGTAATTCTTGCATACAGGTCGTCTTTAACTTACAATAGTTCATTTAGTGATCGTTCAAAGTTACAATGGCACTGAAAAATGTGATTTATGACCATTTTTCACACTTACAATTGTTACAGCATCCCTGTGATCACGTGATCAAAACTCAGATGCTTGGCAACTGACTCATGACGGTTGCAGTGCCTTGTGGTCATGTGATCAGCTTCTGCGACCTTTTGACAAGCAAAAGGAAACCAGATTCACTTAACAATTGTGTTACTAGCTTAACAACTGCAGTGATTCACTTAACAACTGGCAAGAAAGGTCTTAAAATGGGGCAAAACTCAATTTTCCCTTAGCAACAGAAATGTTGCGCTCAATTGTCATAAGTCAAGGACTACCTGTATTTATTCTCTTTTGGCAACTTAGAATGATAAAGTACAATATTATTATGCCAGCCAAATTACCACCAGTAAATAACTGGTGTTGTATAAGCAATTTCCATTTCTTTGGTAACCTGTTTGGGAAGGGCCTCCTTGTGGTTTTTCAATATTTCCGATTTGTTTTTCCATGTGATCCAGACATTTATGACACTTAGTTTCTGAAATGTGGATCTAGAGCTCATGAAATGCCTGAAACGTTTCCTCACTGACATGAAAGCTCTGCTTTTCAATATCAATTCTGCTGTGATTAAGCTGGAGTCTAATCCTACCTAATTCATGCCTATTGGGACTTACAGCCTTTTTCATTCTAATAATATCTTGGGGGAGGGGTGTAACCTCTATCTTGCATCCAAACTAAATAATCTCAAAGGAATGTGCAAATTGAATTCTCTAGAACAGTGTTTCTCAACCTTGACAATTTTAAGGCATGTGGACTTCAACTCCCAGAATTCCACAGCCAGCAATGCTGGCTGTGGAATTCTGGGAGTTGAAGTCCACATGCCTTAAAATTGTCAAGGTTGAGAAACACTGCTCTGGAAAGTTTCATCAATAAGGTCACTCACCTATTAAAATATAGTCATAAGGGAGAACGCTCCCAAATAATTAAGCCAGAATAGTCCATCCATAAGCTCTGAACTTCAGAGTCAGTCTCAAGAGAAACATGCATTGTAAACACAGTGTTAGATGTTGCTTCCTCCTGAAGTTGCTCCTCAATCCTATTTTTCCTGACTTCCTGTCTAATGGAGCAATTCTGAGGAGTTCTAACTCCTTGTGTTGGATTTTGTGACACTGGCCCTCTATTACCAGTTGTGGCGTTCTTCCTGTGTGGACTTGCACATCTGTGGTGGCTGCATATGTTTATAATGAAGCAGGAGGTTTTTTGGGCACAGAAGGTGATCTGTGGATTTCAGGATTGGGTTTAGGTCAGGAATCGCATGTAGCCCCTTCACTGGGAAGGAAAAATGCCTTCTTTCCAAATAATGGGGCAGTGTCCGCAAGAGGAGCTCAGCAGAGAGAGAAGCCGTCTGTGAACAGCAACAGGGGGCTATTTAAAGGCATTTGGGAGACATCATTTCCATCTACTTTAAACCTTTGAAAGTCAACAAAGGAACCACAGGATGGCACCCAAACCACAGCTGCAACCAAAGTTGTCCAAGTTTTTAAAAAAAAAAAACATTTTGCATCTGGCTGCTCTGGCTTAGCCTGTGAAAACCTTGACATTTTGGATCATTGGAGATATCCTGCAGCATTCCTGGTTTTTGAATGTACTATAGGGTCTGTGTGGGAGGTGAGCTATGGTTCAGTAATATTTTGGAATTAACAGTTAGGAAATGGCAACAAGCGCAGAGGGGCTGGGTCCCAGTTTGCAGGGTGGCAGCCAGGCCTGTGTCTTTCCATTCTCCAGTACAGCTAGGAGGAAGAAACGGCTGCAACTTCCATTTGTCCAAGCTTGCCCATTTGCCATGCAGCAAACTGGAGCTTCCGCTTGCTTCCTCGGGTGAAGAAAAAGTCGGCAGAAGTGCTTTCCTAATTTCTCCTTTAGACTTTTGCAATCCATCTTCCATGGAACTGCCTTTAAAAATGGCTCAGAACCTGATGATGATCCAGAGATTTTCAAAACTTATTTAGCATCATGTTCCTATGCTTTTGGCAACTCCACGGGTTGCCTGTCCATTTAAGGCAGCGGTTCTCAACCTTTGGGTCGCGACCCCATTTGGGGTCGAACGACCATTTAATGGGGGTTGCCAAACAACACGATCCGCCATTTTTTCCCCTCGGGGTGGCGCCGCGCATGCACGCCGCGCATGGGGACGGCATTGCGCATGCGTGCCGTGCATGGGGGTAGCACCCGCGCATGCATGCCGCGCATGGGGGCGGCACCCGCGTGGGGGCGGTGCTGCGCATGCGCGGCGCGTCCTTATGACCGGGGTCGCTGTATAAAAAGATTGAGAACCACTGATTTAAGGTTCTAAATGTTCACTTTTAAGCAGTGGATAGGACTTCTTGCTTGAGGTTACGTGGATTTCTAGAGTGAACATTTTTTAAAAAATGTTAATTACATAGAATGTGCCCTTCTATGGTTTTCTTGCTTTTTAGTATGTGCATCACAAAGAAAGAAGGGTTTATAATGCTTTGTGCAGCATACAAATTGGATTTATATGGTATGTTTTGAGTTTTGTTTGCAGCTTGGAGTTCTGGGTAGACGGATGATTATATATATGACTGTAATCTTGGAATCACTCAAGCTGGGTAGGAATATTTTATTTACTTATCTATATATATAGATATAGATATATCAGTAAAGAAAATATTCCTACCCAGTTCAAGTGATTCCAAGATTACAATCACACCTTAATGAAAAGCGAAGTAGTATTTTTTATTGATGATGTGGTAGGATCCTAAAATCAACATAGCTGAAAAGAATATTGTTTTATTAAGTCTGTGATTGCCGGATGCTCCAAGTAGGAGAAGACAAAAGTTTACGAACAAGTGAGCAATTTATTATGTTGGTTTAGTGTCATCTTGGAGCCAAGCGCTGGTAGCATACACAGAAGTCCTTGGTGCAGCTGATCTATACTCCCATTGGTTGCAGCTTGGGAATAACACCTTGGAAAAGGCATATATTTGGTGGAAGTGGAGTTGGACCAGAGTAATTATAGTTGCTGCCATTGTTAGATTTTTCCAGGAGAACTGCACTAAGATCATTAACTGGAATAACTTTTTTCATTTTGGTCCTTGTAGAAATGTCTTGTAGTAGAATTCTCCTCCCTTGCTGCTCATCTCTGCTCAATTTTAATGGCTCTGTGTTTTCCTGATTGGCGATGGAGGAGACCCAGATGGATGCAGGTGGTGATAGTAGCAGCTTTGCCCCACTCTCTCTTGGCTTAGTCAGTAGTGGGATTCAAATATGTGAACAACTGGTTCTCAGTGTGAATGCTGCTTTCGGAAGTCCATTCTGGGCCTGAGCAACAAAAAATTAGCTACCGGTTCTGCCGAAATGGTGCGAACTGGCTGAATCCCACCATTGGGCTTAGCGTAAAAAGAACTTTTCATGAGTCACAAATCTAACTGGGAACTCCCCTGTCAAAAGCAACAAAACAAGCTGTGTAAATTTCATCTATAGTACAGGAGACTGTAGATAAACACTGCCTTCTACTATGTTGGTTTACATCAGTATTTTTCAAACTTGGCAACTTTAAGATGTGTGAACTTCAACTCCCAGGTGGCATGCTGACTGGGGCATTCTTGGAGTTAAAAATCAACACAATTTAGAATTGCCAAGTTTGAAAAGCACCAGTTTACATGTATCACATTTCTTATTACATGTATCACATAGCTTATTAGACTTAGGAAAAGAACAACCTTGTCCTTTATCATATATGATTATTTCTAACTTGCATCCTGGGAATTTGTACAAGACCACAGTTTGGATGAAGAGACCTTCTTTTTTTAACTTTTATTTAGCTTATGTTCATCACTTCTTCTCTTACTAGGGCTTTATGCCACTTATTTATGATGGATTCCAGCTTACTTTTGTATATACCTTAAATATAGTTTTGGTCACATCTGCTAAAGTACATTGACTTTGGATGTACCAATTCTTACTCTTCAATCTGGAAAAAGGTTGTTTTGCAATGAAGAATAATCTGGACAAGATCAAACACTTTGAGCCCTTGAATGAGTCCCAGTATCCCAAATATATTACAAGTGGATCGGACTCAGATGACCCAAAACCGTATTTCTTGCTTACAACCACTACTAATTAACCCATTTAATATATATAGATTCTGTGATAGCCATTCATTGTGCATTGTGGAATTTGCTCTCTGTCACCTTGGAATTAGACCTTTTCATTTTCCAATGATGACTTTAGATTGCCTTCCAGATAAAGTTTTTATATTAAATGAACATTTTTATATGAAAATCTCTTCCAGAAAATTCCCTTATGCTGCATTTAGTCTGTTGGGATTGTGATTATATTTTAAAATTCTGAACATTCAAAACATCTATGTAATGAAGTGGAGCATATTGTTGATACTACACTGGTAAAACATTTTGGGATAGTTTCTGTCCTCTCTCTTTTGCTAAGGGCAAATGATTTCCCATAGATGCAGATTATTCAAATTGATTCAAAGAGAGAGGTCCACTTTTCCAACATTCAAGGACAACCTTTCTCCTTCCCCACCACCATGTAGGAAGTCACATGGATGTTTCTCTACTTCTCTCATATATGGTTGGCTACTCCAAAGGCAGCCCTAAAATCATATTTCTAAAATTAAAGCTATCTTTTTTTTTTTTTTTTACAAATGACATTCAGGTGCTGGGCAGGATTCAGTCCTGTACTGCAGAAGAAGCTGCTAATCCTCCATACTGCTCCCAGCCATTTCTTAAGCCAGCTTCAGAAAGTTCAGCCTACGCTGCAGTTGGTTGGTGACAAAGGTAAACTGGTGTTCATTCCAGATTATGGACACTTGTTATTTTGGCTTACTTATTTTGGCCCACATAGTATCATGTGTTTCCCTAATTGGCATTCACACACCAGTCTTTCTTTTGCTAAGATTTGGTTTTATCCAAACAAATCCCACAAATTCCAAACTAGACCTTATACATAAAAAGCCCAGAACCCCTGTGACCATCAAGCTAGCATGTGGGAACGTTTAACAAGGGAGTGAAATAAACCTTGGGTGCCCTGTAATTAGGCTGGCGGCAACTCAGGACCTGTCTTTAGTAGAGGAAATGCTCGTCCCTTAATCACCAAATGCCCACAACTGTTCTGAAGCCCTTTAGGACAGGTTCAGGGAAAGGAGATTGTCTGCCTTTTTCTTCACCCAGCTGTCAGGAGGATGATTTACGTTGAAGTAACATGTAGGACTGAAGCATTATGAATGACTTTTTAAATTCATTTTAATTTGAGAAATTTCTTGTTCCCACCTAAGATGATCTCCATGACTGACAGCAGGAACCTCCATGTGACTTATAGCAGTTCTGCCTCTTACCTAAGTTTGATATATGTGAAGCAAAATCCAAAGTCAGTCTTTTCTAAACTCCATTGATTTTGTTTGGGGGGCGAAATTAAGCTTGTTGAAATTGTTACTATTTGTTGAAGAGCTGTATTCTTCTAAATAAGTATGCATGGGAACAAATCAAAACTCTCAGTCAAAGCAACTTATTTCCTTCAGTGTGATTTCAGGATTGCTGTCTTGTCATAATGGTTGACATTATAAAAGGCAATATGTTGAGCATATGTCTAGAAATGGCTATGAATTGCTCTTCTAGAAAATCTCTAGTTATATACAATCATTTACCCTGCTGGCTTGCTCAGAAGGAAGCCCCTCTGCATTCACAAAGAAGCGTATCTAAGATTTCAGCCTTAATAAAATGCTGAGCAGGAGTTCACACTTAGTGGCAACCTGAATAAATGGAAGTTCCAAATCCTGTGTACAGCAGAATCATTTTGACCACACAGATATCTGGGAATCAACCTAGAAGTTAAGGAAGCAGAAAAAGTATTGACGTTGTTCCCCGTTGCTCAGTCAAGACACCAGCAAATGAAAAGGAGCTGCTAGCAAATGGCATATCCCATTGGTTGCAACACCATAAGCTGCAACATTTAGCAGATAGTAATAAGATAATGATTGGCTTTTAACACAGCTCACACGTTTCATGGCACCATCCAGCAAAACAGCTGGAAACACGATGCTTGGTAAAATGCTCCAGCAATAGTAAACGAGGTAGCCTTTAGCCACAAAGGCTTCAAAGAGCAGCAGCAGCTTCTCTGCTATTATCCTGAAATAGCCATGCTATGCAATAAATTTTCAACCCAGGCAGTTAAAGGGCTAACACATAGCCAGGGCAAACAAACTAGTGGGGGCCATGTGCATCCAAAATTAAAGAGGACTTTTTATGCTAGGGAGTGCTTTTAAAACAAATGGTCGAGTCAAAAGAGAGAAGAGAAACCAGTAAATTACAGAGCTTTGCACTACATTACAATCCTTGTTCCTCGGTGTAACCAAAAATCTAAAGATGGGTGAACCTCAGAGGAATGTTAAGCAGAGGCTGTGAATCAATAGACATTTTGTAAAACATCCCCCAAGAAGCCCAAAATGGCAAGGGAACGCAGAAGAGCTTGGTAGATGAGTTTTGAGTTATTTTATTATACTTCTATATTGGTAGTAAATGCATGCACTGTGCCTCTGTAGTAATATAACTGGACTATATTTTCCCCCTTTGCTAAGTGAAAGGAAGCTAAGACATTCCAGTTAGTATAATGAAAGCTTGGTTAAGAAATGTCTGAGGGTATAGCAGCAGTCTCCAGTTGGTGAATCACTACAAATTTTGAATTGCTTCAGATTTGGAATAGGCACATCGTTTATGGATTTTATTAAGCAGAGATTAGTATGATATATCTTGATCCAGTTTCAACTTTGCACCACATCACATTGGTTTAGTAAAGGAAAGTGTAATACAAATGATTCTGTTTGACTTGCCTAAAATTTTCTTTATGTTGAGGAAATTTTTCAGCCAAAGCTGCAGGCCCATTTAGTCATGACTATTTAAAGAAAATAGATTTTGAGTCCAAATTACTTTTGCAATAGATTCTATTATTTCTCCTATTGCCGCTTTTGAAAGTCTCTGAGACTGCAATCACAAACACACATAGTTGGAAGTTACCATCTTTCACTCTAGTCTGAACAATCAAGGATTTTCTTTTCTACTTGGAAATAACAGCTCTTCTCAAGGGCATATCCAGAGAGAGAATAAAGGATCAAAGAGGCGAGACGGCTGCCACTACCACATAAAGCCATGCTCTTTTTTATGTACATTATGTGTCAGCTTCACATTTTTTGAACAGCACTGCCAGCAGATACCCCTAACTCTTCTGCTTCACATACTATACTACTCTATACAATTTTATACCATCAAGGGCATATTATGGATTCAAGGCTACAGTTTTGAAGCAGAGCTGGCATGCCCACTGGACTTTTAGACAGAGGTGATCCAATTTCTCCCTCTTTCTCTCTCACTTTTATTTAGGTTGAATAAATAATAGGTTGAAACATGACCCAGATCAAAATAATTACTTATATTAACATTGAAATGTACAGAGGATTACTGTGTTGTTTTAGTTCTGTACTTAAATAGTTAACTACAGATAGTCCTTGACTTATGACCATAAGTGAGCCCAAAATTTCTGTTTCTACACAAGACAGTTAAGTAAGTTTTACCCCATTTTATGACGTTTCTTGTCATAATTGTTAAGTGAATAACTGCAGTTGTTAAATAACACAGCTGTAAAGTAAATCTGCCTTCCCCATTGACTTTGCTTGTCAGAAAGTCGCAAAAGGTGATCACACAACTCCAGACACCGCAACCATTATAAATATGAACCAGTTACCAAGCATCCAAATTTTGATCAGATGACCATGCGGATGCTGCAATGGTCATAAGTGTGAAAAATGGTCATAAGTCACTTTTTTCAGTGCCGTTGTAACTTCAAATGGTCACTAAACGAATGATTGTGAGTCAAGGACTATTTGTATAAAAAGAAATTGACATCAACAAGAGGTAAGGAACCAAACAGCTCTAAGCAAGAGTTGAGGTTTTGCTCCTAAAGAAACTAACATCTAAGAGACACTCCCCCCCCCCCATACAAACCACTAGAACTATTACATGGGGCTTGATGTTATAGTCTGTATTATCTAAAGAAGCCCAGGTGATAAATATTCTTATTCTGGCAATCAACTGGAGTAATGCCTTCTAGATATTTCTAAATTGCCTCAGATTCACTTAGCAAATATTATAATAAACTGGGGAAAACCTTTGTAAGAGACCTTCCACCTATTCTGTCTATGCATGCCAAAACATTTTATTACATAGTTTTCTGACTTATAGATGAACTGTGCAATCTTTTAAAAAGCTATTGAGAAGAAAATGCCACCAAGTTCAATGGGTATCTATTGTTGATTGAGAAGTTTTATTATTGAGCTTAAATTACACCTTTGCTAAAAATAAAAAAAAACCCTTCCCATTGGTTTTCTGCATATGCCAGAGTTATCTAACTCAGTTAACTATTCAGTTCAAGATAGCTTGTCCTGGGATCCCACCATAAATGATATATCAATGGTGCAAAAGAAAAAAAAAGGATAAACTTTTAAAAAAATCTGTTTTAGCTAATATATATTGATAGTACTCTTATAGACAGAAACGTATTAGCAAGTAATTTGAAAGAAACAAGCTCTCTTTATAAATACAAGTCAGTTTCCAGACGCATTATAATAGTTATTCTTATTAGGCTAACTTTTCTACCTGCTTTCTTTGAATTCTGCATGTCTGCTTATCCAAAATGTGTGCAGATCCAGCAGAAGATACAGAAAACAAGGGAGGAAAGAACCTCAAAAAAGACAAGTGTGAGACAAGTCAGAGATAGAACAATTCAGCCACGAGCCTATGAAGAGCCCCAAGGATGAACATGGGCAGGACTTTCTGAGAAAGGAGTCCTAGGCTTGATTAATGCTTTACTGTATTGAACCAGATGACCCAGATCAGAAGCAGGTAGAGGTTTTGTTCTGTGCAGTGCTTGAGTTACACCCCATCTCTTGTTCCCCTTCACTTTTTGTCCTCAATATCCTCTGGGAACAGTCTGTAAGCAAAATAGTCCATGGACTCCTGAGCTAGCTTGGAAAGGTGGAGGACACCCGTGATCACCAAAGCAATGAGCACCAACGGCAGCACCACACTCCACATTGTGGCAAGGATGTTGTAGCATTTGGCTTTGGAACTATAGTGATGAGCAGCTTCCAGATCCCCAGCCACCTTCTGATCCCGAGCCTTCAAGGGAAAAAAAAAATGTAATACTTGAGAACGTATTTTTGAATACATTTGAATAGTTTATATAAACCACTTTGCTGCTGTGTTAAATGTTTGTGCTCTTCCTCTATCTTCTGAAGTGCAAATGGCACAGTTTAGGGAAGAATAGTGCAAAAAACCCACATACCATATGTTAACAATTCTCCTTAGTGACATCTTGCTACATTTCATATATCTCAGTTCAATGCAACCTAACTTGTGGAAGGCTAATCTAATGCAGAAATCCCAAAGAAGCAGCAGGAAAAATCAATTCATGTCCTTAATCTTGGTAGACCAGCAGTTAAACATTCTTTAATTTTAACCAGAATAGGAACATGGCATGTCTTCCTTCCAGGGAAAACCAGATGAAATAGTAATTGTTCTCTAGAATTTGCCCACACACTCTAAACAGTTCCTAGAATTTTTTTCCATCTGTGCCTTGACTGATTCCAATTGCTTGTATATCACTACCACTGCTATCATCCTATGTTGTTTCTCACATTTTCACAAAGCACAGAGTGCAGCCTCTTGAACATAATCAACAAATGCACTATTCATTCATCATCAGATGGCAAAGATACTGATGCAAAGATTGTCTCATAACTTCTCTGCAGATCCTTGCTATGCTGTCATGTAATTCTTTTCAGTAAGTGAGCCTAAGCCATTTTCATTGCAAAGAAACCTCCCAAATTAACTAACATAAACTAGGATTGATCTCATTGTAGCCTAGTTCTTTCACACATCATCCACTCCTCTCCTAATTTTTCTCTAATGCCTTTAGTAATCTATCACAGAAATATGTAGTTCCTCCCATCTTTCAGATCAACCTACAGCAAACACTAGTGCGCCTTTGGAATGTCTGTCTACCATTCACACCCCACTCACTTAATGGCTTAATTATTGCAACACATTCTACACGGTGCTGCTGTTAAACTCTTAGAAGCTTCAACTGGTCTAGAATGCAGTGCTGCAGGCAGTGATGGGCATGCCTCAATATACTCACATAAGTTTGTGAGCTGAACTGGGTGTCAGTTTGCTTGAAAGTGTGATTCAAGGTGCTGGTTATCACATATAAAGCCTTATATGTCATTGGGCCAGGTTGCTTAAAGGACCACCTTTCTTCTGTGTATCTGCCTGGCTGGTATAAACTAAGAGAGATGGAAGATTCCAGACTCCTACAATTAAACAGGTCCAGGGCTTTCTTCTACTATGATCAAGAAAGCATGACTTCTCTTCCATGTTGTCTAACTTCTGGAATGAAATTCCCCTGGATATTTTGTGTGGGTCCCATCCTGATGGTGTTCTGGAAGGCCTTGAGGACCTGGCTGCTCTCCCAGGCCCTTGATTAAGGTGGATGGAGCCTCTTGTTGCATGTATTTCTGTAAACGTTTTGTATTAAGTGACCAGATCTCATCTTGTTTATTTTGTACTATATTTTTTCTTTTCTTTTTCTTTTTTACTATATTGTGAAGTGCCAGTTTGGTGGTGCCCAAACCAAAGTACCAAAAGTATCATCCCTATATTAGCTGAATAAAGAGACTCATCTGAAGAAAGTTGCACTAGCACATATTTTAGCCCATTTTCTTTATATTTGGCAGTCTTGAATAATGCTTCTGTACGCACCTGCACACACGTGCGTACTGTGTGCTTGTTGCAGTCTAACTCTTCCCTGGTTTTTTTATCTACCTGAAAATTCATGTTCCATTTTAAACAATTACTCATAACAGGGCTGAACAAGTTCATAAAATTCCCTTGACTTCCCAGAAGACCTATTGTACTATTTCCTTTCTTACTCATAGATAAGAAAGAGATCAAATGTCCTTCAGAAATGATTTACAACATAAATGCAACAATTCCCTGGGAAAAGTTACATATTTAGAATATAAATCTGGGATGTCAATCAAATTGCTGGATTGGGAAACTATGGAAAGGATCACTATGTCAAGATACAGTTCCATAAAAGCGAACAAGGTTGACAGAGCTTGTAATCGAGGCATTGGAACTTCTAAATTAGATTTAACTCCTTTCTTGTTAGATATAAAGAAACACCTATTTTAGTGTCCTAAACTTATTAAATCTACAAATTTAATGAGGAACTAAATGCATGATGGAACTTTATGAACCTCAAAAGTTTCACAGAAACTACAAAGGTTCCATAGCACAATATCACAGCAAACATTTGGGAAATGTTCTCTTCCAAAAGTTCCCCAGGGACCATCCCAGGTAAAAAGTCAAACCCCAATGCAGCTCTTGATATATAAGAATAATATCGAAAAGATCTCCTACCTTGACAGAATACGCAAGAGCTACAAAGCCCAGGCAGCAGAGATTCATATAGAGGGTGTTGAAGATTGACCAAATCATATAGTCCTGGGGGATCACAGGAGGCCTGATGGTGATGACAGTGGGAGAAGGTTCCTTCTCGTGGGATGTCATGGGCAAGCAGGTTTTGCAAACGTACAGAGAAAGAAAGAGGAAAAGCAGTTTCCCAGGAAGATTAGCCTGTGAGGGAGCCAGGCCAGGGAAGCCCTTTATATAGTTCCTGGTTAAGGCACATTTTCATCTCCGTCTATTTATATAGCAAAGAAATTACAGCTCTAGTTTGTCTGTGGTTATCAGAAATGCCTTGCTAGGACTAAAAGAAATATTTGGTTTTGATGCCTGCCCTCTCTCCCTTGGGCAAGGAATGCTTTTTTTATATCACTGTGGTTGTTTCTGCACTACTCCCCACAGTGGAGAGTAATTCAGGCACGTGGATCAAAGGCAAAAGATGGAAAGGTGCACAGTGCCACCTATCCACTTCAGGGTGTTCCTGTGACTGACAGATAAGCATATAGCAAGGAGAACTTGGTGTCATTTGCATTGTCTTTTCTCGTTCTTCCAACCATCGTGTCTTCCCTTGCCCCATTGCTTATTTCCTGGGATTTAGAGGCCACAAACACTCTGCAGAAGTGGCCCCAGACTTTTGTGAACCTATAATGTTTACCTAAGGTTGACAGCTGTTCACTGGTGGGATTCAGCCAATTCGCACCACTTTGGCAGAACTAGTAGCTAATTTTTTGTTGTCCAGCCCCAGAATGGACTTCCGGAAGCGGCATCCACACAGAGAACAGTTGTTGACATATTTGAATCTCACCACTGCAGCTATTGCAGTAAGACCAAAATTGCACACTTTACATACACACAAGTGATTTCATTTGATTTATTCCCAAGGTTGCTCACATAAGCCTAAAAGCAGACCCACGTCCTATCCCAGAGCCTACAGAAAGAGCCAGGCCTTATGTATCTCCCTAAATGTTAGCAACCTAGAACCATATCTCAGAGAACAGGGAGGAAGACTATTCCATAAGGTAGGTGCAACAACAAGAAAGGCTCATTTAAGATGGCGTTGCTTAACTGATGAGATCCAAAGCATGTTAACCCTGTCCAGCTTATAGGATGGCTGAAATAAGTTCCAAAGAGCTTGCAAACAATCAATTTTCCCACTGGAGGAAACTCTTGCCTCATTCGCCTTCCTTGCTTTTGAATTTCAGCATCTGAGTAGGAAAAGCTGACTTGCCAGCTTGCATTTCCCACTGAGTAATCCAGGAGAGAAGCAAGCTAAAAGAAATCTGATTATTTTTCCTTTCTTTGTAGCAGTGGATAAAGTGGCATGCAAAGTATCAGGCTATTTAAGAATTATTTTATTTCCCTTGCGTGTTAAATGGGAAGTGAGAGGATTTTGGTTAGTGAAGTTGAAACAGTGACATAATGTCAACACTCTGACAATGGCTTACGGTTTCTCCAGTCTAAATGCATGCATTTTGTTAAAAGTTTTTAGCCCTATTTATGGTTGGAATCACAGGGCAAATCTCCATGTGACCTTCACAGTTCCCAATGGGATTTTTAATATAGCAAGAGTGATTTCTTGATAACTGGACAATTTCACTCTTCCAAATGACACTTATTTATTTTAAACATGATCAGACAAATGCATATAATGAGTATTGGGAATGTGAATGGAATTGGCAGCTTAATTTTTCCTTTTGGGGAGGGCAAGTCTTGTTGCTCTAAGACTAGCAGTGAGTCAGGTAGTAAAGGAACTGTTTTGGCAAGCTGCCTCTACTCACCGAGAGGAAGAACCTCCATTTGTTCATTCCATTCTTTGTATTTTGAAGATTGCAGGTCCGCTATAAATTGCCTTGGAGGGACTGGATAGCATGTCCTGTGGAAGTGCCCTGTATCTGTTGAACGTAGATTGTATAACATAGGCAGGATGGAGGGCCAAACCAGACACAATGCAGAAAATGAGTAATCAAGTTTGTTACGTTTTTTTAAAAAATGGTCCCAAGGCTATGCAATTCCCAGAGCCCAACTTTTCTTCCAGGAGCTATGCCTTAGAGTTCATCTCTGGACTTTCCCATGAAAACGGGACCAAGGTAAGATGCCATTTAGCTTTTAACTTCTCTACAAATAAGAATAGTCGAGTGCAGAAATGGTGGTCTTCCTCCCTGATGAGGAACATTGGCCTGTCCTTCCTTCTGACCATCTGCAGCTCTCTTAGCTATAGCTTGTTCAAGAGAGAATATATACTTCAAGCTAGCCTTAAATTGGAATCATAGGGGAATCTTAAAAGCGAGCCTTTTTGAATTCAGAAAAAGAAGCTAGTAGTGTTCATGGAAGAGGCCAAAAAAGACAAGATGGCGGACATGTCTTCATGATGCAAGCCACCCCCCTTTTTTGTTTTAGTATGCGTTGTATTGGGCAATGCAGCAATGGTTCAGTGGACCTTATTAGAAAGATGCTTTTGTGACATGTCTTAAAGAAGGTATTTTAATGGAATCTTTGCTCTGTAGATCTTGCATATCTGATGCTGGTTATAAATCACCCTTGAAAAATGAACAAGTTGCCCTGAAAAAAGAGGGATTTAAAGCAGAAGAAATGTGAGTTGAGAAATCACACAAAATTGGAAATGAGACCAATCATTAGTAATGGAAAATATTGAACTGTTGCAATTATTTGATTTTGGGATAAGATTAAATTGTGGTAAAGACCTCAAAGCTTTAATCCCAACACGATTCCTATATTTTCCATTGCCTTTCTCTCCGATCTCATTTTTTCTGTTTTTCCCATCCCTGTCTCTCTCCCCCTTCTTCCCTCCCTCCTTCTTTGCCTCATCTCCCAATTGAAACTAATACTTCAAAAGAATTCAATTCACAAAATACTTTCCATAATAATATAGATATATATAACCCAGGAGATCTGATCTTACTTTCTTTTAGGCGTAGGTTTCTTGAAAGATTTCTAATGGCCACGTGGTGGGGCCATAGTTGAAAATAGAGAGGTTGTTGGAATGTGCTCATGATGTGAGGAAGCAAGATAGAATGACAGTCTGTGTGGATTATTCTGTAGAGCGTATGCCCTATCCTTAAAACATTACACTAACATTTTCTTTTTGGAGCAATGGTAGTGGCATTCTTTAATGTCCCTCCCTCCAGGCTAATTTCTCTGATTTAAATCATGCCAAACATCTACAGGTAGTCCTTGACTTACAACAGTTCATTTAGTGACCATTCAAAGTTACAACGGCACTGAAAAAAGTGACTTATGACCGTTTTTCACAGTTACAACCTTTGCAAAATCCCCATGATCATGTAATCAAAATCCGAACGGTTGGCAACTAGTTCATGCTTAAGATCGTTGCTGCGTCACAAGATCATGTGATCCCCTTTTGCGACCTTCTGACAAGCAAAGTCAATGGGGAAACCAGAATCACTTAACAACCTGTTGTGCAGGCTCTGAGGTGTTGCTTGATAAAAAAAAAGTACAGGAAACCAGAAGTTGCCTTAAAGCTTTACATTTTTATTCCGCTGTACAAAGATGGGCCCCTCTAAAAAAGAGAGAAAGCCCCAAATGACAGAAAACCACTATTTTTATACCTTTTGATTACATAAGCAATCCACCCAGCAAAGCTGACACACATAAGATAAAGACTTCACCCAGTAAGGCTGGCACACTGTAAATAAGAAGGGAGAAAGCAGAAGTAGCTAAAAATGTTCCCTTTTGGGTGTTTCCCTAAGACACCATATGTTCCCGGGTGGATTAGGACATTGCGTGTTTTCCTTGCTATCCTTTCATGACCCTGCATTCATGACTCTGCGAGTACCCAAAGACAGTGAGGCCATCTGCACATATTCACAATTCATACTTCCTATGCTATCCCCAAATCTGAGTCAACGGGGGGGTATTGGTTTTTTTTTAATTCTTTTTGTATTGGTTTTTTTTATGGTTTGTAAGCCACCGAGAGTCACTGAGAGTGAGTGTGTGGCCATATAAATCTTCTAAATAAATAAATGATTCTCTCCCCACAAAAGACAATGGCCTCGAAAAGAAATAGGTTTGGTTTTCACAGTGCATGGGTATTGGCCTACTATATATTCCAGGAAATTAGTCCAAGAAGGAAGCAATCCGATCATGAACAGTAATTCCTTGAGAAGGCTAATACCAGAATGTATTAATACTGTATGGCAGTGGTTCTCAACCTGTGGGTCGGGACCCCATTTGGGGTCGAACGACCATTTCACGGGGGTCGCCAAACAACGCAGTCCGCCATTTTTTTCCCCCTTTTCCTTAGCTGTGCTACTCCCTTTTATTCTATTGGCTTTTGAAAGCCAATAGAATAGACTCTCTTGAATAGAGTCTAATTCTATTGGCTTTCAAAAGCCAATAGGAATTGTCCAGGCTGTCTCTGCCCTGCTGAGCCCGCCAAAAGTCCCATTCTGCAAACGGTGCTGCACCAGTTGAGTAGTCCTCGACTTACGACCAGTTGGGGGTCGCAGCATTAAAAAGGTTGAGAACCACTGCTGTATGAGCACTTACTATACAGTATTTCCTTCGGCCCAGCTTTTACTGAAGATGCCCACTTGAGGGCAGACATACATCAGCAAATGAAAGGAACAGAAGTTCAGCTCCTTTCACTCTGCTGTGGCTTCCTGAAGAATTAACATCCTGAGAACATTACTCCCATTTAATGCCCGATTTCCCTTACATGCCTATGAGGAAAAAAGGCTATAAAGCCCTTTCCATGCTTCCATGTAACAGCCAAACTCACCTTGAGGAATAAGTTAAAAGGATTGCGATCCAAACTATTTTTTTTTTCATTAAACTGAAGTATGGGACAATTTTCATCCAACCTCCAACTTTTCCTTCTTGGGGTGGACTTGAGTCAGATTTCAGGCTAGGATTTGGTACCGAGACTATACTGATTGCACTTGTGGATGATCTTTGTTATGCCAACTGCACTAGCTCAGTAGGAGTCTGCATGCAGTTCAAGAAGCTTGTTGTCACCTTTAATGCCTGACTTGGTATGGAATCACTACTTGCAGGAACTGCTGTTCCTCTTCCTAATAGTTTCTGCCCATCTCACCAAATCAGAGTGGGCATGCTCTGGATCTCATAGGTCAGTGATGGCGAACCTTTTAGAGACCGAGTGCCCAAATTGCAACCCAAAACCCACTTATGCATTTTTGGGTGCCGGGTGGGTGTGGCCCATTGGGTGGGTGTGGCTGCAGTGGTAATAGCAGACTGAGTGGGACTAAAAAGTTCAATCAATCAGTTCCAACTTTGCAAGATCTTTTTTTTTCCGCGAGAAGTTGAAA